GCGGGTGGTGAGCAATTGTACTGTGCACTGTCTGTCTTTCTTGGGTTTTATTTCTCTCTCTTTTTGTTATCTTCCTTTTCATGATAATTATTGCTATTATTTTATTTCAATTACTAAAGTGTTATTTCAATTATTAAACTGTTCTTATCTCAACCTACTGGTTTTACTTTTTTTTTTTTCCTTTCCGATTCTCCTCCCTATCCCACCAGGGGGGAGTGAGTGAGCGGCTGTATGGTGTTTAGTTGCCAGCTGGGGTTAAACCACCACAGTCCTTTTTGGCACCCAACATGGGGCTCGACAGGTTGAGATAAGAACAAATCTGACTGGAACACGTTAAAACAAATTTGTTATAAGCATTCATTATATTAGTTCAATAGTTGCTGGTCACAATGTTGATTTATTTGCTCTCAAAGTCTGGCAGAGCTTTTTATAATGTTTGTCATGCTACATGTTCAGGATTAATTGTTGCCAACAGATTATCATTTTCATTCAAATTAAAGATATTAAATTAACACCATGGAAGTTTCAAGTTCACTGGAAGGTAAATGTGGATTTGTTATAAACAGTCAGGCTTTAAGATTACAGAAAAACCAGTAAGGTGTTTCTGTACCTATATTCACCCCGTGTAATCCAGAGCAGGGAAAATTAAGGCAAAAATCAAAGACATGCTTTGCATCAAGAATTATCAAGAATCCTTTGATGGTTCAAACAGAATAACAAAAGCAATACCACACCAGCTGGCCACCAGAAAGACTGAAACCTAATTAGTGTGCAGGCATGTATTAGTTTCCAACCAAGTGTTCCAATAAAGCCTTTTCTTTTATACGTAATACTTAACCAAGCTACAATTTTGGTGCTGAGAGGCCCTGTCTAAAAGCAAAACAAAATACTCAGAACATGTTCATATTTAAACCACAACAGAAAAAAGCCTCAAGCACTGAGCTTTCAAATTTTAAGCGCTGCATTTAGGAGAATTTCAAACAAATTTTCATGAAGTTATACCCAAGTTAATTTACAAGATGAAAATAAAGAGGTTAGGTCAGTGGAATACTGTATTTCGTGCTTTCAGATCATGAGGCAAAAGAAAAATTAGTAAAGAGTGGTTCTAACCTCAATCCACAGGTCTTTTACTTCTTTGTTTCATATTAGTTGCTGAGTAGGGATGAGAGAAAAGGAATACATGATAAGCGCAATTTAATTAAGTAGAGATTTCATTAAATTGGATTTCTCAATAAAATTTTTTCACAAAATAGACATTTCCTTAATTCCAAGAAAACATGCATTATAAATGTTATCATTTGTTGCCCCATTGAAAGATGGAGAGTATGGTTTTGAATGTCCCTAGTCCATGAAGTTTACAAGTGAGAAAGCGTACGTTCCAAAATAATTGGTGTCAAACAAAATGTTACGATAAAAAGAGTTACAAGTGACAACAGATGTGAAATCACGATCAATGCCAAGAGATCACAGATAGATCTTAACAGCTGTCAGCTTCTTGACAGAGCCAAATTGTTCAATGCCAAACCATTAACTCAGTTCGACAGAAGCTGCCCTGAAAGTGGAAGCAAGGTCTCTTCACCTGTAGAAAAACAAAAAGTATAATCTGAGATGGAAAATGACTTTTACTTTTTTAACAGGTTCCCCACCAGCTGACTGAAGAGTCAAGTAGGAAGCTGTTGAACACATCTAATTATTTCAAACTAGAGCATCTTTAATACAAGTCATAATGAATCCACCTCTCGAACTATGAAGATTATACCTAGAGGGGCAGATTGAGCAAAGCTGATGAAGTAGAATTTTGTACTGAGAAATACACTCTGAAGGAAACTGGTAACAGGGATTGGAGGATAATGTATATGAGCACCTACCACTCATCTATTTCACTTACATTTGACAAAGAATGGTGAAGGACTTACGGCTACACACTACCTTTGCTGCAGCAAGGCGTCTGTCCTACTAGCTTTGTTTCATAAAGCTATCCATCACTAAGAAAGTACATCTGTAACACCCACAAATACCCACGTCAGCAAATGATTCAGTGGTTCAAAACTAAACAAAATTGTAAGTTCTTTTTTGATCTCTCAGTTAAACCTGAATCTCCACAAACTGATACCTCTTGAGCAGCTCCATTTTCTGTCAGTGAAAATTGTTAGTGTGAGAAGGCTACTCTGCATGAATAGAGAGAATTTTTTTTTTTTTTTGTCAGTTTATACAACAAAACTAAAGAAAAAAGATCTTAAAAACTGTGATCTGGAACTCCTAAGACAATGAGAAAAAACTGGCTTGCACATGTCACAGACAAAATGGCCCTTCCAAAGCACTTTGGAAAGCCAGTGTTAATATTCCAAGTCCTTCTGGTTTGTTACATACACACAGAGGAAATAATTCAAAGTACTTACAGCTAAAGAATTGCTTAAATCACAGTATTTACCATATTTAAAGCAAAGTAATCTCACACTATCATTTCCACAAAGCTGAAAAATCTGAAAAATTAAAACTAGTTGCTGATAAGTCTGAGCTACCAGTGCCTTCCTCATGACTGCTCAAAGCCAACTTGCTTCCAACTGAAGCTCTTCCAACTTCTTAACTCCCTGTTGTAGCAAACTCACGTATTTCCCATCAGAAACAAAGACTCTGGCAATACAGCCAGGTGATACAGGGTCTCTTTAGGCCCCTTGGTGTGTGGCCACATCGCCAGGAAACAAGTAGCTTTTGTGGATGGGAGGTGGGGTGTAATACGTAGTCCAGTTCCCTTTCTCTGCAAGTCCCAGACTTGCTGCCTGTGGTCCCAGATGCTTAAGCAGGGTCCTATAACTGGATCCACAGAGAGATCTCTTTAGGGATTGCACCGAAAATCCATACCTGGAAAATAGAAATTTTAAAATTTTCCAGTTTAAAGTTCTTAAGACACTTTCCTGATACTGGTTCCACGTTGTCTTGATATCCCAGACACCAGAAATTGTACTGATTGTATCACAAACTCAATGCTGTATTTACAAGCAGTTACCACACAGCTAGTGCCTGTGAAGACAGGCCAAAAAGCAACATCAATTTCTAAATGTGAATACATGCAAAGGAATTATTCTGGTAAAGCAGTTCAAGCCCCTTTGATATGGTAAAAACGTCCATTCTGGTTGGAAAGAGAAAAAATAACACAATAAAAACACTACTACTTTTTAAATTCTGGGGAATACAACTACCCATGAGAGAGTGCTAAATGCAAACAAACCTCAGTAAACAATAAAGAGTGCATAAAGATGCAGTTTAATCTAAATTTTCCTGGAGCTAAACGCTCCATCTCACTTCATACCACAAAAGGGAGTAAGGGGGGGTAAAAAAAAAAAAAAGAAAAAAATACTTGCTCACAGGGAGGAAAAATATTTTAAGAAGTCATTAAAGCAACAACCTTCCCAAAGAGAATAAATCTCCAAAGCAGCAGCAAAACAAGCTGCCCAGTCTATTTTATCAAAGAACTGGGCTTTTTTCCTTATTATATGACAAACAACTGGCTTCCAAGATGCCAATTATTTAACCATGGTGAGACTTTTAACTCCATTTAGGAGGGAAAAATATAGCTGCTATAAATTTAACGCTGCACAACAATCTACAACAGCTGCCTACAAAATTTACTCTATATCCTTTTTATCTTTGTCTCTACTAGTCCTGTTTCATCAACATGTACACAGAAAATGTTCTTTCTCACACTGGTTGGAAGTTATTTTTGTCCTAGTCAAAGCATTACAAATAACTCTGAAATTATTAGGTAAATGGTGGATAATGTGATTCTACATTACCATTCAGATGGCTTGGTTCCATCACAATTTATGTGCACAGTGAAATTTCTCTGCATCAGACACAGCATTTTATATTGTTTGTAGGACTGTAAACTCAGCTAATTATTACAGGCCAAAAACTGAAAAGAAACCTGATTGACTATTGTTTCCAGTAGTTTAAATATTGTTCTCGCATTCCAAGTGAGCACCGGGAAGTGGCATACCAACTACCATTTTGACCATCACAGTAGCTCAAAACTTGAATTATACCAACACATTGTTTCTCCTCCCCTTGCTTTCAACAAAAAAGATTTTGTATGGGAAATATTAATCTGTTTCATTCTATGTAGTTAATTTACTAATGTGTCTGTAAGCATAAACTTTACCACGTTAATTTCTCTAATCCATCTCTGACCTCTACCTAACTCTCTAGAAAATTTCAGAAAATTAGGACATTAGTCACTACAACCACAATATTTCTGATTATAGATCAGAGAGTTTTTCAGGGGTCATTAGAGCCCTGATTCCACCCTTTACGGAATCAGATCACTGCCAAACAAGACCACCTTTCAAATACAGCAACTATTACAAAACCTCATACTTAAACCAGGCTTGGGGAAAAAAGCATACATGCCTTTTGTACTTAAGAATATTTCAATTGAAAAAAGATAATAGTCTCAGTTTATAATAAAGAATGCATAATAAAATGTGCAATTATACTCAGGCCACAAGCTTTCTGAAAAGTGTTAACTGGTATATGTCAGTAAAACAGCAATTAGTAAGCATCTTTCTCAACTGTATGAACAGTGTTAAATGAGAAGAATGCTGGATTTCTGTAAAGTACGCTTGTTGAATGAGCATAAAGATAAACACTTTTCTGTAGCTAACTAGAGAGAGCAAGGCACATTAAGACAAAGGGGCTACTGACCATTAGTTACTGACTTCAAAGGGTCAACTCCACAAATGGAGGCTGAAAGACCTTTCTAAATGATGGACAGAAAATCATGTCACTTGTTCAAAAAACTGTCCACTACTAACATCCAAGCAAACAAACACATTTCTTAAATCATTCTGTGCATGAAGTAAGATATAAAGTATTTCTCAGCTTAAGGTGGTCAGCCAGTCTAGACAGTTGTTATTTTAAAAAGCAGAAAGTACTAAAGAAAAAGAAAATTTATTTGCAACAAGTCAACCGCAAACAATTAAGGACTCCACAAAAACTCTAGCTAATGAAAGATGTTTCCTTCTTTATTATTGTGTAATACTTCTTTCACAGAAACATGATATTTACAAATATACACATATAGACTGCTGATCATAAAATGTTACTGAAGAATTAGTCAAAAAATCAATTTACAAAAACCAAAAACTTTCGAAAGATATTCTGGCTGAAAAAGTTTAATGAAATTTCAAGGAGACGCTTCTGTACAGAAAGATAGGTTTTAGCTCCTTGAGTTCTGGTAGTATTAGACGAGTTGTGAACCAAGTGAGCTAAGCTCAGCTGTACATTTGAGATGAGGCAGTTTTTTCTATATTGTTCTTTTTCACACAATTTCTTGATGGTCAGTTCAACAGGTCTCAGGAGGCACTAGTTTGTATGTTTTTGGAAGCTGCAAGCATTGCTCTCACTTTGGCCATAAGATCCTGTAGAAAATAAAAGGAAAATGGTTAACGATGTCTGGTCTTTGAACAGAGCTAAAGCGTGGGATTACAAAAACCTGCTTGAAATGGTTAGCGTATGCTTCAGTCACACAGAATAAGTAGAGATTCGTGATCATCACATATTAACAGTCCCTAGGCTAAATGAGTGAAATAATTTGGAGAAAGTTCTATGACAGCAGCTGAAGTCTGTTTTTACAATGCTACAAAGTGCTCTGCGTAACTATTTAGAGCAGATCCTGTACAACAAAACACAGAAATCACATCAACTGAAATGGAAAGAAACTATGAACATATCTTCACAAAAACTAATGAGCACACATCTACTAACCACTGAAGGCTTAAAAAAGAAAAAAAAAAAAAAAGAAAAAAGAGAGAGCTAGTACGAAGAGGGTGTTAACAATTACTCTGTAACAGAAAGATTTTCTGATTTGCTTTGTAAACCTGAACCAAAAATTTACACAGCAGTGGTATTTTCACATATGACAGAATGACTGAAACATTAAGACTGTTGTGAAACCAAATAGCAACTCTCAGTCTTGTCCAAGTATCCGGTGGGAACAGCATTACAAAAGGAAATGAAATTTCATGTAAATGGCATCGAATAATTGGGTTGCAAATGGGTTGCAAAAAATTATCACAAAATAAAGTGGATCAGTAATGAATTAAAGTTACTTAAAACATTTCTTCACAAAATGCAGTATAAATGAATTAAAATCCTTATTTCTTTTAAAGCATTTTGCATCTGAAGCTCTCAAAACACTTCATAGGGGAATTCAGCATCATTATTCCACTTTACAGATGGAAGAACTTGAATGAGAAAAGATACTGAATTGGTCAGGGTCAGCCAGCACATTGGCAGCAAAATAATTTTACTGATAATTAGGTAAACTACATTTCTTTGGGCCCTTAAAGATAAAAAGATGGTAAACTAATCTATGTTGGGAAATATCTTGAAGATTCACGAAAGTTTAATTCCTCTTTTTTATTTTCTGCAAATAATAACTAAGAACTGTATTTTAACATAGTAATCTTTCCTCCTCTTACAGCTGCACCTCAGGCAAGCAGACTAATATTAAACTAACAAATGCTATGCCATAAGAAATATTTAACCCAAGAAATGTATAAACCAATTACCTTTGTCTGAAGGGTATATGTTTTTAAAGAGTGGGATGTTTATTTGAAGACCATTATGTAGTTTATATCTCATTTCTCAAACCAGGAATTTCCATGTATTTGTTTGGGAGCCCAAGTAGTGCTATGGCATTAGTACTCCAGTTTCTTTCTCTAGTGCCAATACTTGCTATTTTCTATTTTCCTGAATATTCTTGTTGGGTTTCTCATAAAAAATGGATCAAATGTGGTATGTAAGGTACTAGACTGCTGGTATTCATCACCAACTACTACTTTTTCCCTAGCAGAACTAAATCTTTGAACAATATTAATTTATTGAAAGAATAATCTATTCATTGAAAAAAAATCAGAATATAAAAAGCAACTATGATCTTATATTGTAAATTTTCAAAAGCATAATTAAGAGCTTTCCTCCTCTTAACTTGGCATATTCAATTGAAAGAAAGTTAAATATGCATGAAGACTCTACGAGGATGAATGAAATTAAAAATTTTAAAGAGTGATACCATGAATTAGCTTTTAAAAAAGGAATGGAATTATTTTGGTGGAGGTTGGGTATCTTAAAACTGTGTTAGGGAAGCTCAATGCATTTAGACTATTGCACAGCATATAGAGACACATACCTGATACACTGTGATTCATGGCAAATTTGAATATATCAACAAAATCATAACAACAACAGTTCAGACACATAAGCAGCAACAAGGGTAAGATAAGTGAGTTGAAGATACTGCTCAATGCAAAGCATACACTTACTTCAGTTTGCAAGAGGACATATTTTTCCTCTACTGCCAATACTACAAACTTAGCCTTTGCCAAGGTATTTCTCCTTTTTTCTTTCTTCCATGAAACTTGCTAAGAGTACTACATGGTAAGATGGGCTCTCAGTAATACCTGCTACTGGTAACTGGATATTGTAACCTAATGCGGTCTTCCATTTCTTAACAGTGGATATACTGCTGCATAATGAATTTAGCTTGGTCTTTAGAGGCTTGATTAACTTGAAAGGATAGTAGCTAGGAAGCAACGAAATTGTTTTTCTCATAAGCAAGCAGACTGACCATGAACACGTCTCTGCATCATATGCAAAGCTAGTAGTAAGAGAAGAAAACAGTATGATGGACACACTTTCTTACGCAACATACTCTAAATTTGTTTATTTGTACCTGAGTGATTTTACTCTGCACTGAAGACACAATTGCTGAAGAGATTTGGCCATCTTTTTCCTGAGAAACTCCCCTAAAAATTAGAATTAGAAATTTATAGCAAATGTTTTAAAAATTCATTTCACTCACCATCACAATTTTGGGTTTTATTGTACAAGTGTCTCATAAGTTAGTCAACAGTTCTCTCATTCAACGAGAAGCCATGGTAAGTCACAGTCAGAAGAGTCATTGTACAACTGATACAGAGAAATCTGAACAGCAGCCTAGAAATTTTTAACAGAACTGTTCTACATTCTGTAGAAATATTTTAATTATGAATCTTGCACACACATTACAATTCAAACCACTCTATTAGAATTCTATTTCAAAGAGTTATCCCATTTAGTGAGCGTTTCCAATTTCTAATTTAGAATTAGGTTGCAGGATTTTCTGCACCAGTTTCACTGTGAGAGTATGTCAAGATGTTTACTCCAGTAAGTAACAGAGATCTAATGTCTCCATTAAACTGATGCACATAATGCTGTCCTCCCAATGTCTGCTACTTTAAATATTCACACATTACACACACACAGAGTTCCTCACTATACAAGTTAGGTCAAAAGACACAGTCAAGAGACATCAGCAGTGCAGAATTACAGTAAAAGAGCGTACTACCTGGAGCGTTCCTGGCTGGATTCCCTGCTCTCCACAGGAGAGACACTAGTTGAATGTACAGAATTTTTGTGTGTGGATGGTTTGCCTGGTGACATGGATGGTGAAGGAGACCTAGCTTTGGACTTGGTACGTGATCTAGATCGCCTCTTCTTCTTCTTTTCATGGGGACTTCTATAAGAAGAAAGTATTTTATTGAAGCATACTTAAAGCAGTATTACACTAGCTCATCTGAGGTTACTTTTCACACTTTTAAAACCCCATGTAGCCCTCTTCCACAGGACACTACTCATGCATTCAGCAAGCATTAGTCTCACCCCAATACGACACTTCTATGGTTGTGTAAAATACTTTCTCAGAAGCTCTTTTTAATATATTATGTTAGGCAACTACTAGTACCAGAGTTCCTCACATGGAACACTGCTTCATCAGTACACACGACTTATTGACCAGTATTTGATAGTTTGAAGGATGACAATGAAAAGTCATTCATTAGAGATTTGCAGAATAACTTTGCTAGAGGGAAGTTCCTTCCCAAACAACATGAGACACTTATACGATAATGAGAAATGTAAGAGTTTATATCCCTTACAATTTTCCTAGCTCATAAATGAGCAAATCATGGAATCATAGCTATGCAAAAGATCTACAAGGCAAATCCATGGTTTGCTTTTTAAAAGAAATTACCCCTTTCCTTGTGATCCAAACTATAATGCAACAAACCCCAGGGTCAAAATTATAAACAAGCTCTTGCATGCCACTCAAACAAACCTAGACCTAGCAACATGTTTTAAATGCAAACTGCTTATGACTTGGAAATTAGATACACAAATGCCTGTCAGTATGAGAGCTGGAACAAAGGACTTATGGGTACCTGATGGTTCATTATTGACAGAAGGGGAAAACAGAGGTAGCCTCCTCATATGCAATATTAAGCTCAAAGAGAATTCAATTAGTAATATACTAGAGACGGAACTTTCAGAAACTTTATATGGGGTTATGAATTTGTCTGTATGATTTACATACCAGTATTGATATTACTGTAGTTAGAATTACTAGAGTAATGCCTTAATCAGTTAGGCAATACCTCCTTGTAGGCATCTCTCTCTAGCACGCACTACTAGAAGTCTATTCAGTAGAATGTTGTTGAAGCTTCTAGAACATCGTAAAACACTGTAAAACTTTGAGTCATCTTTTAAGTACTACATTATTGGTTCCTTTATTTTGATTTTCTTAGAGATTTGCTATTTTAAAAGCAGCTATGCTATAACATATTAAATTCCCATATAAATAATGTACACCTCTGATGCTTAGAATTTATCATACAAATATCTGATTTTTTATATAGAATTTAACATTCAAGATTTAATATTGCAAAACCTCCTTACACTTTTCTTGCATAAATAATCATTAAGTGACAGAAGAAAAACTGCACAGCTCTACTGGCCTAACATTTTCATGACTATACAAAAAACATCAGCTACAAAGTCAGTTATTCCTTGACTAGCTAATTATGTACCGTAATGGCTTAGTTTCTTAAAACATCATAATGTAATCAAACTGTGAACATACTTCATACTTAACTATTGAAAATCTCAGCAAGCATTCATCAAGCAAGAAGAATATTTTACAGTAAGCTTTTCTGGTGTTTTTCATCTCAAATTATGATGAACAAACATCATTAACAGTTGAATGAATGTGTCTATCAATTTTCTATTTTTAGAACAGTCCATTTACTAAAACTAGGCTTATTTTTTAATATTTTCTAGGTACAAAAGCTAGTACAAAAGAACTATGTGTATTCTATGTGGAAAGTAATTAATTGCAGTCAGATTAAAACACTACACTAGACTTCTTTTTAAAGAGACTATGATAGCAACTGAGGTATCAGAAGAAAAAACAGTTGTTATATTTGTTCTGAAGTACACCTCATTCTACAAGCAGTGAGCCAGTAATTACCAAACAAGACGAAGTATACCATAGCTTCCTAGTTCTTACATATTTTCTTCTGGAAATATACCTAAAAATTTACAAGCAATGCTAACTATTCAGCATCACAACTGATATCAGATTAACGCCCTGAGCAAGTTCAAAACATCGGAGTATTAATTAATTCTAATTTTCAGTCCTCTGATAGTACTGGATTCTAAAGCTTACCTATTTTTTAGTGTAACTATGGTTAATAAAAACCTGTCGGCTGACTGTGGCCATCTAAGACTGAAACCTGGTCTCAGCTATCAGGCAAAATATACATTACTCACTCATAGAAAGCTCAGGTAAACTAACTAGCTTTTAACAGACATTCAACCCAAACCTTGCTTCTATTACATCATTGAAAAGAATCTACTCCGTAACTGAAAATGAAAACTGGTCCATCACGTCTACATTTTCACTTGAAAATGTAACACGTCAGTCCTAACAGAGCTGAAACAGTAGGCTTTCTTCAATCAGTGCTGCAAAATACCCTCATCTATGTTTAACTACAATATTATTTATTCAGTCTACATTTTTTTTGTACTTACTGACTTATTGTGTAGTGTTCCATTTTCCTGCTTCAGACCTAACAAAAGTTTACAATTTCCACTTATATATACAATATTGTTCAAAGAGTAATCTAGTTTGCTTTACAATTGTCATCATAATCTACTATTGGGAGTGGCCTCTAAAAATAATTTACAGCTTAAAATGCTGAATGGTCAAGCAGCAGACACACCAACACTGCACTGAAATCAGCACAGGGCTGTGGAAAAAATCTTGTGTGTGTTTATAGGAAAAAAAGCATTTTAACTTTCTGTATCTTTTCTGCTTAACCAAACTTGCATGTTGAATTCCACAGAAGCCTTTATTATCTCAAGTTGATGAATGCAAAAAAGTGAATCAGTTGAAGTACATGGATGAAGTTCTCAATTATACATATCACACATCAATTAACCGGGGTCTGTCAAGAGATGGAAAGTTATCTTAAGAAACAATAGAAATTTTTTAATAATCATAAAGTTGAAAGTGATCTCTCTGCTTTTTATTCCACAAGAGATACGGAGAAAGAGGTTAAAGAATAAATCTTTGCCCACAAGGAGAAAAATTCTGTATTCTCAGTTTAGTAACTTTAACATGTTGGCTCTTGCGTACACTTCAGATGTACACACACAGCCATAAAAATTTTCACTTCCTTGCATATTGAAGACACAACATGCCCCAAACATTAGACACAAAACATTTCAAAGCCTTCTGGGCACACACTTTGCAGATGTTGTTCTTCTGCAAATGGTAAGCTGAAATAATGGTTGGTATGCCATTTTGATTATAATAGGTACAGAGAGACTTGATTCATATTTCACATTCACTCTGTCAGTAAAATAATTGCTAAATGTAAAGCATACCATCTGCTAAACCATAGTTTCCTCTTACTTGTGCAGATATGATGAGATGTCAAGCAATACCAGTAGGAATAATGTAACACCACTATATGACCACTGCATAAGCAGAGCATGAGAAAATGACACAACAGGAAGAAGGAAATATGGAAGTCTAAATAAAATCTGAACTCTCACAGCTAGGAGAGAGTAGCGTATCAACGTTCACTGGTTTGGTTGTACATTTAGTATCCAAACATTTGCAAGAATGGGGAAGAAGAACGAGAGCTACTATTATTTTTTTTTTTTTTCCACAGAAGCATTTGTCTATTAAAACAAAGCTCCAGAACATAAAAAATGTCAAGTTCTACCTGGGAAGTATACAACACATCAGACAATGTTTAAAGGTTTTTACTATGCCAGAACGTAACATTCTCCGGGACCAGGAATACACTTACTTGGAACGTGGGCGTTTCCTACTATTTCCAGGACTGTTACTGATGCGATAAGCAGTTGGAACACTTCTTTCATCTCTCCGCCTTTCTGGTGTGTGAGTCCTTCTCCTAGGTGACCTTGATCGTGACCTGAGCAGGAAAAAAAAACAGCCGAAAGTTTGCTTTTTGTTACTTATTTCATTACTTTTATTTCAGTGGAATTGTGCTGGCACCAAACACAAATATAACACCTCTCAAATGTCTATTTTATACCAACATTGGGTATTTATTCTCCAAGACTTGTCAGCTGCATAAAAATTTCTTACCCATACAAGACATTTAGGATGTAATTATGCATTGCTTTTCATTCCCAACAGGGGGGGAAAAGGAAGCAATCATTTTTTGGTGTCGTGTGCTAATGTCAACTTCCGTATTTGTAGGCAGGAAAGTTTTACTTTAGTCCAGTCACCTTTTGTGGCAACAGAGTTTACTAACATTGGTATGGAGAAATCCAATTTGGCTCGAAGCCTGGGACTGTCAGGCCTGACCTTGTCTTCTCAAATTAGTGGTATGTTTTTAGAACTGCTGCATCACAGAGATAAATACAAATTTTGTTTTCAGTGCAACTCCAACTCTGACAAGTCCAGGAAATTTTGTCCCTTGATGATGCAGAATAATCCTAGCACAGCTAATATTTTCACCTGTGCAAGTGACCAACAACCCATGATAGTTGTTTGGCACTAGTATTTCGACTTGAGATATTTTTCCTAGAAAAGTGAGTGAGAGAAAGAGATCAAGAGGGAAAAAAGAAAGTATGCCCAGTTAAGATCAGAGATCAACTTAAGAGCTTAATTCTTTTTCTCTGTGATTTGGAGTTAAGTGGATGTGTAAGTAAAACCTGAGTATTTCTTAATAACAAAATAAATGGAATGAGGAAAGTCCTGAGATGGAGGGGAGAGGGGAAGATGAAGAGGGCAACTCAGGGACCCAGCTTGGAAAAAGAAAGAAAATAACAAACCCCAAATCCACCCAAAATTCCTGATAGTAACCATTAGTTTTGTTCTCACTAAAATATATAGTTCTAATAATTTTACTTTAGTTGCTTATTTATTTTAAAGCCTTTCTTATTTATTTACTATATGTATATCTTTCCATGTATATCAAATATTCATGTTCTTGAAAATACCTAGTTTTCAGCGACTAAAAGACAAGCCATTTGTGAAATCACTGATCATCTGCGTACTCACACCATATATATAATATATATATACACACACACTCCTGAGCCATTTCTCTTACACCTACAAGAGATCAACTGAAAATGAAAAAAAAAGTAATCACAATGGCAGTTAAGTGTTGCAAATTAACTGCTTTGCCACTTAGAAATCTGATCTTTACCAGGCCATTCAGAAGGATTAAAAAAGGAAAAAAAAAACAACAGATCAAAGTTTGGGGTCAGTCAGACACCTTGACATTTTACCAGGATTTCCCTCAAAAGAGCTCCAGCAGTCAAATCTTTTCGTTGTCGAAGTTGCCTGATAATTTTCCCGCTCTGTTGCTGCTGCCATTGATGAGCTGCTCAGACTTGGCTCCATGCTCAGTGTCCCTGTGGATGCTGTGAGTCTGTGATACGGAGGCACACACTTCACATTCAGAATAAAATGTCCTAGTTTTGGTATTAACTAGAATCCTGAAAAGGCTCAGACCCTTAACCAAAAGCTGAACCTTAGTGAAACATGCCTATATGGACCAGCCTAAAAAAAGTCCAAACAATCAGAAAGAAAAAGTCATTAGCTTCATTTTTATAAACTGATGCTTGTGGTTCTACAACATTCTTCCAATCACCAAGTGTTAAGAATTTTGGCTATTAGCTTCAAACAATTAAAAACAGCTTAACAATTTTACTCCAATACATCCATTATGACTTTCATTAGACTGTTATGTCAAAAGATACTCTATTCCTTTAAAATCAATATAACTTGTGTTTAGTAGAATGCCAGAAGTTCACAGAGTTTAAAAGCTTGTCATGTCTCATTACAAAACAGGAATTAAAACTATGTGAATAGACACTGTCTCACCAATAAGAAAATCAGTTCAGAAGGAGAAAAAAAAACAAACAACCTTTATTACAAAGAACAGCTACTTGCAAGTCTCCTAAATTCCTACCATTGAGGGAAGAAGTCTCACACAAGCGCACACACACACACAGGTGATCTCTGTCCAAACTTATTGAAAAGCAATCTGTTAATAAAGTATGCTACTACTAATTACTGTGTATAACTTATTAACTGTATAAATTATGTGGCTTAGTACTACTCTATTACTAGACAGTATAAAGAAAAACAATCAGTATCAAAGAGAATTTTAGACTTTCCATCTCTAGTTGAAAATGAAAATCAAAATTTCATCTAATCAAATCACTAAATCATTCAGTACGTAGCGAGTGCCTCTGCTTCTCTTACTCTCTTCTCATATGCACACACAAACCAGTCACACATACATGTACATCATCAGCTTAGATCATGTACTACAAAGAACTGTTGTCATAAAACAGATTCAGACGAACATCGCCATTATTTACACTTACTGCCAAGCAGCTGTGAAGCCCAGCTTCTCAGCTAGAACAGCACACTGACAACGCCAGGCTGAAAACCTACACTGCTTTCAAGAGCACCACTGTCAGAGGTACAGTTCAGCTCAAACTTCTTAATGCTTCTTTGAAATCAATTAGAAAAAAAGACACTGATGACTGAAAGGCACCAAAACCTGTTTGTTTTCCAAGATAGATTTAACAAATGTGCCCAATCTTTGACATTAAGTACTTATTTGTAATAACTAATTATCCCTTTGGGACTAACAGCTCCAAAGCAATCCATGCTGCAATACCTTAGAGCACTTTTGGACATGATTTACTGTTACCATGACTTTTGTTTAATCTGTCATGTTGGTCTAGTATTAAACTTGTACAATAGTGGGAGCTTTATGGGACTAATTTTGGTACAGAAATGTTGTTTCAGAAAATAACATGCATTTATATAGAGAATTGCTGTTAGCACACCACATGCCACAATTAAGCCCATATATCTGGGTTGCTTAGGTAACTACATTTTTTTAAACTTGTTTTGGTAAAACAGACTTGGTTGTGCTACTCAGAAAAATAAATACCCAAAACATGCTTTGAATCAGCTTCACATTATTTGAGCAGAATTTTTCAACTTCAATACTGCTGAAGATGCATTAAAAAATATAAAAAAATGCAACACTACAAGAATTGTATCTTACCACCAAAGACTATTTTTAAATGAAGCAGAGCCTCTAGACCTCTAACAATGCAAAAATAAATGATAAACAAAGAGTATAAAATGCTATAGAGAAGTGTATTGCAAAGTTCATTTGTAGCATTTCTAAGCACAATACTCATTTTGGAAAAAAAAAATAATGAAGATACACACACCGAGTAAAGAGCAAAGAAAGTTACTGCAAACTTCTGTTTAACTTCACTTCCCACATCCCATTCCCTATTAACTTGTCACAGTAAGTTATATGGTAAAGGTGATTTTTAATCTCACTTTTTGAAACAACTTATACCATTAAATATAACTAACTCAAAGTGTTTTTAAACAGAAACTCAACTAACGTCTATCTGGAAACCTCACAAAATCTAAGGCTTTAAGGTGTTCCTCAAATACACAGCATGTGTTGAGTGGTCATTATTACAATTTAGAGATTATAATTCATTATCATCTGAAAGTAATATAGTCTAATGAAAAATTATGAAATAAGCATAGCTCCTCTTTTGTCTGTCACAGTTAATTTAAATATAATAGTTTATATAACTTCAAATCCAAAACACTTATTTTCACTGTGCACACACTTCAAACCCAATAAGCCACTCCCTAAGAAAGTTATGGAAGTTTATTAAGAAAAGTATCTTGTGAGTTATTCTAAATTACTTGATTATCAGGAACTGAAGCAGTAATTACTACAGAAACAGAAAATTCCATATTTTTCCAGTCACAATTGAGGTAAAATAAAGCATCAATAATCACTTTATATTGAGATTTGTAGGTTAGAATATACACTTTGAACAGAATAAAATAGGGTAACAAAATCTCTAACATGTAACATTATACTGAGACATTCAAATTAAACTCAGTTACTCAAAATAGGGATGTTCCAGTGTAATTAACATTGATGTCCACTCAATAAAGACTATCTCTAAGTGTCAGCCACTTAATACGAGACGAAGACATTAACCTCTACAGATAGTTTACACTTTATCCCAGGAGGGTACGGCTCTTTCTAAAACCATTCAGCAGTAAGCTGTAACATCCTATGTTTTGGGAATGTAGGAAAAAAATATTGTTTTAGGTGAAGCTCTGGGAAAATTTAAAGACAGAGATGTGAAAGGTGCCATGTTTTGAATGTGACAAGACGATGCACGGAAATAATTTTATCTGAATCAATACAAAATATATAAATAAATTTTAAAAAAGAAAGAAAACCAGTCACATCTAGCTAAGCTACACAATTTGTCTTTTTTTTTGGCAATTACTAAGACAAGGCATTATTTTTGCTTAAACATTTGAGAGACAAAACACATCAGCATCTGACTAGGTTATGAATCAGCCTCCCACTCTTGATTACTCTACAAATTTTCTGGTTTCAGGAGCAACAGCTTTAATTTTAGAAATACTGCGAGTATGCTAAGGTGTAGCAAACACCTTCAATAAAACAAACCTTCAGTCAACACTATTTCTTGTATAATGTGAGACCATGTGGATCCTAATTAGAAAGGCAGGGCTAGAAAACACTTCAAGAAATAGGACTATTCAATATTTTCCAAACTATAATTCTTGATACAGACACTTCCCACAATGGAGCATTCACTAGCTGTATTAACTACCTCTACCACTGACACACTATGAAAAGAATTCTACTCTCTCTGTTACCAATTTAAATCCATTATATATTGTCCAAATCCCAAGGACTGAAGAAGAATGTTCTATTCCCTCGTTATTGGCATACATGAAGACTCATTTAATCTCCCTTCAATCTTCCCCAACAGTTATTCCAACTCTCTCCTTTTCTTAAATTATGAATTTTTTTGATGACTCTCTCTAAACTTCCTCCAGCTGGTTTAATTTTTTCTATGCACATCCTTATGCACAAAACTGGGCACAGTACTCTAGCTGAGGCCAAACAGAACAACATCATCTTCCAGATGAGGAGACACTTGATGTATCCTGCATAAGACTTGCTTGTCTTTATTGACTATATTAAGTGTCAGATGTAGGAGAACGGTATTCATTACAGTTGAATTACAAAAGGTCCTTGGTCAGAAGTTTAGATTTAGCCATGTTCTTCTGAAATGCTATAGATAGAAAGGTACACTCAGATTTCTAACAGGTCTCCCACCTGATATAATTGCCACTATAAGCATTTCATACAGCCTGCAAAAAGCTCAAAGGGAACAGGCACCCACTCAGCGCAGATGATACTGACTTAAGCTCCCAGAAACAATGGGTTTATGAATGGGACAGACACCCTCTGGAGACCTTTGTTTAAAGTGGCATTCAAAGGACAGAAAGACTGACTGAATGGAAAGCCCTTTCCTGTTCAGCTCTAACTTCTGTCAAGTTTTATAATATGCAAAATATTTTTACTGCAAGACATGGTGCAGTTGTTCTGAAACAATTTTAATATTCATCTAACCAGCATCAAGCTTCTCAGGTTGTAGAATTCAACAGCTGATCTAGGAAATATCCAACCAGATTTAATCAGGTCTTGTGTTGATTCATGATGTTAAGGTTTTTATGTGTCTATTATTTGACTTGTGCCAGGAGGCACACTCAAGACGGCAAGCAAAGATTAGCTCTAGTAGATTAACTATGCTTGGTGATTTTTGTGTAATTTTTCCACCACTTGAACTATGGCTATCAAAAAAAAAAACCAACCACCAAAACATAATGAGACTATCCGCTAAGTATGTGGTATACATCAGTAGACTGTTGTCTTTTCACCAGCAGAACCAAAAGTAGACCAAGTTGGTGGGAGTATTCAAGCCTCTAATAAAGGACCTGATATTTTATCTTCCTGAAGTCGCTGAAGATATATATATCAGTATATATCTTCAACTCAGTACATATTTCAAACTGAACTTGAAAGTTCCCATTAATCTGGTTACTGCCCGATGCAAACTCATGCAACATGCAGGATTATCATTATCCTGTCAAGTAGCATACCCAAGTACTGTTAAGGATCTTCTCAGATGATTCTTTGTCTCTTTCAAGGTACCATAGAAGATGATTTAATTTTTTTTTAGCGTTACTACGATGTTTCTCCTTGGTTTTACCATATATCAGTAAAATAATGGATAAATATATGCAACATAGCTTTGAAGAAGTGATATGGGAGGTTCAAGTTTTGACAGGGAGTGGAAAAGATGAGTGATTCACCTGAGAAGACTGTTCCCCAAGATATCCTTAACTATGAGAAGTCTTCCATTCTCTTTTTAAACAAGGAAAGCTTCATTCAGCATTATTCCCTTTACACGCTGGTAAGTACAGAAAAGGAATGGCACACAGTATTTTGGAATGTGCCTTATAACAGACAGCATCATGACCACCTATTGTCAAAGGCAGGGAAGTAAACAACATGTCCGATTGATCGTTTCAGCCTAATTTATGTTCATTTAACTCCTTGCATCTCTGAATAGCAGAAATGTCTTCAGCAAAGTATCATATTTAACCTTAAACATCTAGTATAACAAGTTGCAACGTGTTAATGCTTACTCGTATTAGTGTAGTCAGACGCCATTAAATAAACAAAAAAAATGGGCAAGGAAAGTATAAGATAATAAGTTTTGTCACACCATCATAAAGGGCTAGAAGCTGTTTTTCAGGAAGAAGCATATGTCATAGGCATGGTCACAAAGGTAGAAGAATGCACAGTTTTGCATGCATCACATAGATATATGGCTGTGGTAGTATTTGTATGCACACTTCATTTGAATTACAAGTCATTTAAACACTTCTGTAGCATGATCCAGAGAATGCAACTTCAAGAATAAGCCCTATCTCACTGACCACAATAACTGCTATATGGTGTGGTGTTCAGATATGACTAATTTTACAGACAGTAGACTTTAAACGTGCCTAGACCCAAATGTCTTAGATATAATTAACAGTATTACTATAACACAATATATGTAATTTTATAGCTGGATAATTAACGTAGTGAATTTAATCGCATTAATGATTAGCGTTAACTGCACTGGGCTACATTCTTCTGTGGTCTCCCTCATCAACTCTGTTTTCACCCTTCTTGGATTCCTGCTATATCTCTCCTGCCATCATATTTTTTCACATACTACCCAACTGCTTTCCCTCCTGGGCTTTTCTGTTTATGCACCATGTTCTCTATCCCTATATTTCTTATCTTAATATTGTCTGGTTACTTTACTCCAACAGCCACAGACTTATTAGCAAGTTCTCTTCCTACTATAATCGCATCGCTACATATTATCGCCAGGTATTTTACAGACCAGAGTGAAAAAGCATTTACTGGTACAAATTCTGCACTATTCATTATTTCATTAAAACTATTTTCAAAGACCTTCCACATTTGATGATATTTATTTACTGTCTTCAAGGTGACTATACCCTTTGTAATGGGTATAAGGACGCTTATGCAATGGAAGAAGCGCAAAAATGTTTTAAGTGTTAGCCCACACAGAACTCTAAAGAATATGTTTGGTTTCCAAACCCACCTTGAATGTCTGACAGTTCTATAGGCAGTGGGAAGCGAGTGCTTTGCTTTTGAATGCGATCTAGATCTGGACTTAGATGATGAATGATACTTGAATGGTGATCGAGATCTTGTCCGAGATCTTTTCTTGTGCTTTTTTCTTTTCTTTTCTTTTTCTTCATCCCTGGGGGGATCTTTGCTTTTGCTTGAAGGCCTTTCTGCTTGTTTAACTTCTAAGGTGGGTAAAGTTCTGACTGCAGTCACAGGACATGGTATACTAGTGACACTCTGAAATCAAAAGGTAAACAAATAACAGCATTAAGTTTTCAAAGTTGCGTGCAAATTTTTAATTTGAGAAAGTCCTGTAAGTGCGGACAACATGTAAGCATCTCTAGTCCTTCATAATAAAGAGGGCTACATCTACTCCTGTGCATGCCACATACCTGCATGTTCTGGCAAAGAAACTTAAGATATTCTGCTTGGTAGTCTTGTCAATATACAATATAGGGTTTTTTTTCCAGAAATGCTGGATAACAAGTACAACAGCAAGGAAAATATTAACTAACATTTTTTAATAACTTACATTTTTTGACTCATGAAAGTGTATGAGAAATACATCCATCTTAAGAAAGCAGTTGTTAAATCAATAACAATCTAACCTGACATGAATGCTTTAAAGACTCACAGTGCTGCATCAGTATTATGTAAAGTGTGCATAAGGCTGACATCTTCAAAAACATGCACCTGGTAGTATTTAATGGAGGCCTATACAATTCCCCAAAGATATATATGCAAGTTGGAATATGCATACTAAAACTGTCAGCTAACTAGGACATAGTTCTGAAATTTTCATCTTTAGTTTTTAGAAGAAATGTATTCTAAAAAATAGGATATATTTTCATCTACTTATCCCTTTTATTTAAAAAAGGATAAACATGAAAATACAAACAGGGAACTGCTGATATTCAAAGTTAAGTTTTAGTGTCACTTTCATCCCCAAACTGTGTTGTTTAGATTACCAGAAGGAAAACAGTAAAATGGATTAGTGCCAACACAAATTATTTCTGTACTTTGAGAAATAAATATTTTGCATGTATAGGGTTGGGAAGATCTCAAAAATTATTAATCTTGTAGAACAGGTCCATGAACAATTCACATTCAGTGAGTAATCCTGACTGCAGTCAGTTAAGCAAAACATACCACACTCCAAGAAATTCTCAAATTATCAGCTTGTACCTGAGAGAATTCTGCTCAATACCGTATTTAGATCAATTCAAGTCCAGCACTATAGATATGCTTCTCATTTCAAAGCCTGTCATTCCCCCAGCTGCCATTTCAAAGCAACTGGAGAAATCAGTTTCCCTCTGTCATGATTTCTGCTCCATCATTTGATACAGGGATGCTTATCATGGTTGGAATAAAAAATAATATATTAAAACCTGAAAAATCCAAGTTAGAAACAGGTGATCTTTTCCTTTCTTTTTACCCGTCTCCTACTGTGAATATGTCAAGGCAATAATTGACCAGATCTGAATAACTGGAAATCCAGCTTTGCCTCAAGTTAGAGAGCCATGACACTTTTCTGAGCCTTAACTGACAACTGCTATCACAATATTTGCAAAAATAAAGCAGTACTAAAGTAGTTTGCTTCAAGGATTATAAACATTTTATAGCATGATCAAGTGACTGGTTTACCAGAAATCCATTTCCAATTTCACTAAATTCACAATCCACATGTAATTGTAGGCACCCCATCTCCAAACTTCAGTTTCCTGAGACCCCCAAGTATGACTTTCATTCTTTGACAACGTTATTCATCTCTTTATACAGTATCTTAGTCTTCGCTTTGAACACTACTGAATATGTAATAGACCAGTTTGCCTTGAAGTAGACACCTCTAATAGTTTGAAATGAAATGGCTGTAGGCAAAGTAGAGTTAAGAGGAAAAGATGAGTGGGAAGAAAAAAACAATGGTTTTCAGCACCCAAGCTCATTTGGCCACATGAAACACAAGCTGTCATACCACTGCCAAAAAGGAAGTTAACAAATGACACATTTACTCTTAGCTCACACATGGAGATTCTCTCAGCAATCACAAAGAAGAACCCCACAATGCTGAGCACCCCTGTATATCCACCAAAAGCATCGGATGCTGAAACTGTGGGCTACCCTTGACTTTCAGGATGCTTACACCAAAGAACAACAGAGCTGCCCAGATATCTCCAAGAAAAGCACGGTTGCAGGCTGGCTGGCTGTAGATGCAGACACCACTGCTTCAGGTTACTAATGAATCATGTTTGGAAAGCCATACGGAAGTAATGTTAGCTACCCTCAGGTGAATATGTAGGTTCTGGAGTACAAGACAACAGCTAACACACCAGGGAGAAGTCACCTACTCATCCAAACCTAAACAACACACCATTGCAACCAGGAGCTCAAATGAAAGTCGTCAGGTTGCAACGGCGTGATCAACTGTGAACAAATGTGCTGATTCCCTCAGTGGCATTTCTGGCTGCCTCCAAGAAAAAACTCACCATCAGAATTACCCGATCCACCATCAGAGCAGAACATAGACCTCAGTGAAAGAAATGAATGTCAGTAAGTTACCAGGCCACAAACAAAATTTCTAGGTGTATAAATAATGCTGCTGAATAAAAGTATTTGGAAAAAATAAACTGTCTTAGTGTCTGGCAAATAGAATAAGCTGTCAGTGATTTGTATCTTTACTAGTGAAAGCTGATCTAGGCAAACTAAGGTAATGGGAACTAAAATCGGAGGCACAAATATGGCAGGAATCAAAAAAATATAATCAAAGCAAGCACAGATACTAGGAGATAGTATTTCCAAAAGGCAGAAACACTGTTTTACTGACCAAGCTCCACAAATCTGCAGGTCAGTAGAACACAGTTTTGTAAAGCACAGCAACAAACTGGCTACCTGATGAATTTTATTATGTATCTCAAGAGATGAGAGATTTAAATTTTTTGAGACCTCTTCCAAGAAGTTACACTGTAAACATTCAGATAACTTTCACCGAATCTCACTTCTTTGTCCACCTGGGGTAACAGCACATTTTTTGGCCCTTATTAAACACTACAGTGTCAGACAATTTCACTGGCAGAGTTGTTCTTCAGCATTTTATTTGCATGACTGAAGCAAATCCAACTAAAACAACCCCTTCTACAGTAAACATTCAGTATAAAAAATGTTTTAGAGATACCTTTTTGGAAAACAAAGATGATTCAACAACTCTTGTTTAGCAGGAATGGGTTAGGAAAGAGGTCTATATCAGGAAGAATTTATAGATATTTGAGAACATAAATGAGCACTTCAGTTCATTAGAAGACATTTGCATACTTGTAGTATTCACAAGACTAGAACACACATTAGTTATTCTGGGCTACACTACTTGACACACGAAGCTAACATTAGCAGTGAACCAAAAGGTGCTTACTGCAACAGAATGAAACTCTAGCACTGTTACTGGTACAAACAAAACCAACTGGTAAAGAACATTATCGATAATATTACTAACACTTTCACAACTAGCTAATATTTTTTCTGTTCTGAACAGATGAATTTTGCAGTAATTTGAACTCTATATTAGATCAAAATTGGAAAGAGTGAAGAATGTCAGAACTGTGAAAAGTTAAGCAATAATTATTTTATTTCATTAACATCTGAAAATATTCCAGATTCTTTTCTACCACTATGCCTTTTTTAACCGCATGTTCTCCAAAGCTTATGGTAAAGTATTCTCTGACTGAGAATTAATAAACAGCTGTCTACCAGCAGTGGAAGTGTATGACTGCTCTGTGCATCAAAGTGAGCAGTTACTGCTTTTAGAAGTTTGTCAGTCCTAGCCTCAATAAATTGGCCCAAAATGATTAAATAGAAGTGATAAAAACATTTCCTATTGAGCTAGCTCCTATAGAACAAACTAAGTACTTAATACTCAAAGACTCAACAGTTTCATCATAGTTTAGCTGCTGCATTGAAACATAACTATTAACAGTACACTGACCATGGTAAGTTCTTCAAAAAGAGACAGAATTTTGTATAACATTGTTACATATTGGACAAAAGTAAGGACAAGTCATCTAAAGAAACAAACAATAAAACAGCGCTTCAAAGCAGGGAAGGTGAAGAAGGCAAAAGAAGTTTTGTTTTGTACTATAGAATCTTTATATTCAGAGGCACAATGGCAGATTACATTTCGGATAAGTCATTAAAACAGAGTTACTTTCAAATCATGTGCTTGTCTGGTTTTGCAGCATTATGATTGCAGATTTCTCTCCTTGTTTAAATCTAAGGTTTATACAGGTAACATTTTGGGTAACACCAACTGTCTTTTACATGCATATCTAATTACTGTCATCCCTAAATCATTTCTGACATAGGATAAAATAGAAGAGATTAGCAGAATGATCCATATTAGAAACTCATCAGACACACTATTAGTTAAATCATGCCCTGCAGACAAGAATTGGACTGTATTAAACTTGAAGAACACCTGTCACTACATCAAGTAACTTCTTTGAAGATGTTAAATATACTTTGCACTGTCTAGCCACCTACCACTGCTGGACACTTCTCCTATTTTTTGTCAGGTATTACAAGCACCAGTAGATTCCGGGAGATATTTCACCAATTAAATGACTTAAATGGCCACTTACAACCAATTTCTTTGACAAAGGATGCAGGTCTGCAGGCCTTCCTTTGACAGGGACATCAGGGTGGGGACTTTACCTACACAAATTATATTTATCAAAACATTTTGCTGGAAGCAATGATTTAGCAACTTAGATTCTCCCTCTGCAAGACTCATAACCTGCTACCATTATCAACCATTGTTAACAAAAACATCAAGCAAGTGATCACCAGCAAGACACTGAACCATGGCAATTTTCTTCTGTGAGGCTTGGCTGCACACAGATGGAGAACCATGGCTCCATAACACTATTCTTTTCCTTTGAAAGAAAAAGTGCTCCCAGATGCACTTAAGAACGGTGCTGGACCAGATTAGGGATAATCAAAAGTTCTGAATTAGCACATTCACACAAACAACATTTAACACTTGAAAAAGGCGGCAAAAATGTTACAGGACTAGTATACCAAGTATACCATATGAACACCTACTACCAAGGGTGATACCTGTATTCAGAATTCAACTTGTGCCAATAGCTAACACTTTTGCTTTATTAAGCTGAAAGCAAAACAAACTACCATCTTAATGTGAGCTCTTTCCAGTGTCTAATCTACTTAATTCAGGTTTTGGTAAGTATATATAGGAACATGCACAACTAGTCTTTACTGTACTTATATATAAATATATATGTAAAGATCATCTTAATTTTTAAAATTTAAATTAATTTTAATAATTTTGGAAGAAGGTTTGCATTTCAGATTATAAAAGACCTTACTTTATTTGTTTAAAAAAAGCACTCCAGGTAACCCGGCATACTCCAGCTCTTCATATCTAGAAGAACTGCAGTTGTTAAAACTACAGGTTATTTGCTAGAACAAAGAACCTATCTATGCTCATTGCAGAATGACGGCAACTTCTCTTTACTGGCACTGCCTGACAGATGTGTCAGTTGGCCTGACTGTCTTGTTACAAAAGTGTCTATGTGAATTATACATGTAAACATATAAACAAGAAGTGAGATGCCACCCACTTACTGTTTACCCATGGCCTGAAAAAGGGCAAAGACTTCACTAGCTACAATGTTACTGGAAGCTGATGGGTTTTGGAAACTGAGCTAAATTACATGGTTTCCAGCTACTGGTTAGAGGAAATATTATGCATAACTGTACTGTTGTAACACATGCAAGAATGGTGAGCAGCCATTTGTGAAAAGCTGCCCTGCTTCATTGCTCAAGCTCGTTTCTCAGCCTTTTGTTCCTCTTCCTTGATTTTCAGGGAAAAACAGGAAACCATATAAAAGTAGTAATTCAACTATGGAAAAAGTAGATCGGACTATTTTTAAAATTTAGCTGAAGCCAAAAAAGCTTAAAAGCACTATGTTCTGTGGTATTGACTGTACTTTACGTGCAGTTAGTAGAATCAATTTTGCTCTAAGGTGTAACATATACTCAGTACCAGCATTTCTTTCAAGAAATACTAGGTATCAGGAAAACCTGAGAGGTCAAAAAGCTTTGCTCATTTAATGCATTTCTACAGAGCAGGTCTTCAGCACAAATGTACACTGTGCATACACATAAATAGCATTACTAGTTTTTATAAAGTTATTAGGCAGGGGCAATCTCATGGTAATCATGTATTTCCCAAGGACATTCTCAACTCTTCTTCATGCTTTATTATACATCTCAGTCACTATTCCATTTTTCTGGGACACATTTTAAGCTACAAAAACTATTCCACTACATTAACTCTATGACCATTGCATATCAATCTTTGTTTCCTGGACTCCTCATTGGATTGTCCTTCCCCCCAAACTGGAGATGAAATAGGTTAAGTGATAATTTTAGTGGACTTAAATATTTATTTTATTTTTTCTTCATTTTCTGGAATTTCCCCTATTAGTTCCACTGTCCGAACAACGAAACTAATTATACATATCTCTCTCAACTTTTTATATATTTTTTTTTAATTATAGCCACTGTAGTTCTTGTTACTTTTGCAATCAGTGTTTTTAAATGCAGCTTTTTGTTTCTGAAACATGACTGAAAAAGCTCAAAACCCCCTAGTACTACGTATTTACTTGTAAACTGATTTAGACATCACGATGCAGCTTATTGGATTCTCAGTATATATACAACAGAGGTTAAAAAATCTACAACATGATTTCACTTACCTTTTTCTAGTAAAATTTCTTGAATCAAATAGGATGTTACTAATAGGCAAGCCAGGCAAGTAGAGCAAAAGGCAGATTATGCATTGGAATGAATGTAGATGGAAGCTTTATCAAACATGGCAAATAGAAACACAACACCTTGAAAAACACTCATGTTTAAAACTTCAATATGCAAAAATCTATATGCATCTATCTATATAAACTTATGTAAGTGTGTCAATAAAAAAACTGATCGCAGTATATACAAACACAGAAATTTCGATCTGGGTTGTGAAAGATTCTGCAACAATACCCTAAGCTGCATAAACGTCCTGCCCTATTTAGGTTAAGTTTCAAGAAACTACATAGTCTACACCAAATTCCATTCCTGCTTTTTTCCCAACAGCTGTTTACAGCCATTGTAGTGAAGACTTAAGTCGAAGGTGACTTTGCTGAAATTGGATTTTGACAGCTCTTCTTCCATTAAGAAAAGAGATTGTTTGGACTTGTTGGACATGTCCATACAGGTGTTGGAAATACAAGACTCCCCTGTCTTTTAGCAAGCATGCTTCAAACCATGCTGGACTGGGATGTGCTTATGATAAAATGCTTAGGCTGAATAAAAATGAGTGACGCTCCTGAAAGTAAAATTATCACTTCTTAATCTAGGACAAGCACTATACTGGCATGAAGAGAGAGAGTGGCTCAGTGAAAAAGCTGGAACAAGGGGAAAAGAAAAAAAGAAAGAACAGAAACCAAATAGGAAAATAGCCTATTCCCCTCTGTGGATGAATTTAAGCAATTAGGAACTTAAATGGAAAATATACAATGTGAATGGGAAAGTGACTTCAGTAGAGAGAGAAAACCTGCCAAAAACTGCAGATGGAGAGAAGAGCTTCAGGACAGCGCTACGATGAATGAACAAATGAATACTTGAAGGATTTTCCTATATAATAAATTCAAATCCCTCAAGTAGGCTTTTAAAATTGTACTTATTTTATTGAAATCAGAAAGGGTTTATGTGAAACACCTTATTTCTTAGCTATTTTAAACAGCATTTTCTGTTTATTAGTAGGTAAAAAAGCAAATGTGTGGCTCTGAGCAATACAGGATTTTAGAGTTTGGTTTTATACTTCATTACTGAAGTTTCATTACTAAAGTCTTTTGGCCAAAGACTCCTCTTTCACCTTGCCTACTCAAAAATTCTAAGTCTTATATCACTGATTTCTAGAGGCTCTACCCAAAAGATGTTTTTATCATAACTACTCATCAACAGACTGACTAGTTACAGTTCTGTTCGCTGTAGAAGATAATGCCAACTAACTGATTAGCAGTTAATTCCGCACGATAAATCCTCTTTTTTTCTCTTTGTGATAAATTCTAGTAATCCAATGTATGGCTATGAGAAATTAGCTTTTAACTTCCTTTGGAAACAGGAGTCCAAACAGCCAAATGGCAAGGGAACTCCTTAGCAATTTTAATGTGTTCCTAAAGCCAATTATGTCATCATCATCAATATCCAGGTTACTCTTAGATTTTGCTTAAGAGTGCAGCATCATGACGACCTACTCAAAACAGAGTTTCTGAAAGCCCTCAAACTGAAATTACCCTTGTGCAAATGGACAATTACAAGGCAGAAGACAGAAAGCAGTCTGCCTCTGCCACATGACTATTTCCTAGTAGTTTTCTAGAAAGAAGCAGAGGGTTTGAATTGCTAGCAGAGTTATAAAAAATTGCTCTTTGAAAGAAAGTGCAGAAATATTAACACTCCAAATTTATTTGCTACAGAAGGATAACTGCTTCTACTCTCCAAAATAAAGAGATTCCGCTGAACAAACCCAATGGATTAGGTCATTTCATGATCAAGTAGGCACCAGCAGTGTGCCTACTTCCAGTTCTCTAGAAGACAGCTAGCAGAATAATTAGCTCCTCAGTTATTTCATGGTGAGTTTCTTGTTTTGACTTTTCATTGACTGTGCTCAGTGAATAACATGCATATATATATTTTTTTGAATTGTGTGCCACTATCTGTAAATTTACCTTCTTTTAAAAATCATATCCTTATAATATAAAAGATTTTGGTTTAACTCCCATAGTAAACATGGGCCTGAAAATCAAACAACAAAACCCAGCAGAACAGGTGCAAAATAATTTTTAAAGTAAGCTCGGTTGCCTGTGAATCAGTTCTGAACTTCAAGACGGCTACTCACATCAAAACACACATTAAGTAAGTAAATACCACAACAGATATCCAAACACTCTTGAAAGATAAGCACTATAATTCATGGACCACTAGTACAGAGTTAAACTTGCAAGCTATTTTCCCTTCTGTAACTGGCTAGCTGGCCTTTGAATTATGCATATTTCTCTATCAGTTCTTTAATGACAGATAAGAGACACAGGTAAGATAACTGAGAAAGATTAACAGTGTTTAAAATTTAAATTTCTCCCCATTTAGAAAACTTTCTATCTCTTCAGCCAAACTCAAAACATACTGCCAGATACATACTCTACAGGTAAGTTTTCTGCTATTTTTATGGTAAAGAGAAATTTATTTCCTGTTTACCTCGTTATTGAAGGAATTCTCTTCAATTTTCTCAGTTTCTGCGTCTGCAAGGGGGTTTTTCAGGGTCTGCAAGAACAGTGCAGCTTTCCTTTTGCGCTCTGCTTGTAGCTGCTTTTCTTTTGATTCTTTGGAGGCCTGTGCAAGCTTCTCTCTTGCTGCAGCTGCTAATCTATCCTCTAGTTTCTGCTTTGCTAAGAAAGACGATTAAGCATAAAGTTTAGAGTGAGTCAGGCTTGGGGAACTTAGGCTTCCTTGAAACAAACACACACCCCCCCCAACACAAACAACCGAACAGCCCATCCAACCATTCTCAAACCTTTCTAATACATCCTTATTACATCTTTGAATGGATGTATCAGCTTGAAATGATGAAATTCCAAGCATCTTAATTCACAGAAATATAATTTCCTGGATGAAAAGGAGTACAGGTGAAGTAAAAATTTTAAAGCTTAAAGAAAATTCCATGACCACCCAATCCTGAAAATCCAGGATATTTGTCCTTTTCTGTTTACAAAAGCTATCTAAAAAAGTAGCACTGTAAATTCAGAAGCTTTTTCTTGTATTTAAAGCGATGCAAACTCTCCCTTTTGCTCTTTCCACAGATCTGATCTTTACCTTACATTTTCCAGGCCTATTTACATATATCTTAAAATGTTTACACAAACCATTTCACTATTGTTACAACCAACAGTTATTGTTATGTGATTACAGAAAGAGAACAAGCCAGTTTATTTAGCTGTGCACCTAGTAAATATTTTGTCTAACCTTTAACTTACATTTCCACTTTTGTGTTCTGTGCATGTAGAAGATTGGGTTTTTTGTTCAACTGTACAGTTCTTCCAACACACAACTTTTTCTAAACATGTTTTACACTTCATTTTTGTTGTTATACAAAATATTTCATATTTGCTTTAGATACGTATCACCACAGCATACTTTATGCTACTGAAGTTTACAAAGGAACTGATACTTACGAGCAAAAAAAACATTTTGAAAATGAAAAATTAAATTCCTGTGGCACACTCATAGTTGTAAGAGAAATATTAAGTTTTTAAGCTGGTAAACACTGACAGCATCTCCACTTTATGAAACATTCTCTGCTGTAAAACAGCCTTGGGAAGGAATGGGAGAAATCTGATCCCTTTAAAAGATCGTTTCATTCAAATTCACACAGCATACCCTTCTGCCCTTACATACATAAAAAAAGTTGCAGGAAAAACCCACACAAAGACTTAATGGCATTGCATTATAAGAGTAACAAAACATCAACAAGGTGATATTAGTCTATATGGGAGTGCTGTATAACTGAAAAATAGCTTGAACTATTTCACTGCTTTCTGAAGAAAATGAGAAATGGACATGCCTTTTTCTGGGCTCTGTTAATGCAATCTGGAAACTACAAGTTTAGTATTTTACTCGGAGGTTAGAATGGAAAAACAAAATAAAATTCAGAAAGATCATGCATTAGGGCAAAGTACTCAACTCCAGCGTGTTACAAGCTTGATTTTTGCTGAGAAACCAATGCAGATTTCATTCTTAAACAATAAGCAGGAAACTGTGGGAAAAGAATTCTGATTCCTGTTAATATGACACAGTAAAGATTCAAAATACCTAAAATGTCATACTTATTCACATGACAGTTTTGTAGTTTGCCTGAAAGACTAAATCTTTCATTTTGTTTTCAGTGTAACACGGGATACCTTGTTTAGCTTCCAACTCCTCCTGTGTAAGTTGAGGTTTTTTCTCTTCAGCAGCACTACAAGGAGTGGTAACAGCTGGAGTATGGTTTGAAGCACTATTAGCATTCTCTTGGCCTTCCTTGCCCTCTTCTTCCTCCTCATCACTGTCATCATCTAATTTCACACGGTTTTTCTCCAAAGGAAGAAGGTCATTTTCTTTGGCTTTGATTGCAAAGCTTATCGGAGCAAACGATGCTGTGAATGAATGGTAAGATTTTACACATCATTAGACTACAGTAGAAAGCAGGCTGATTTTCTTGACTTTATCCATTACTCATGTAGACTACACCACAAAAAAAAAAAAAAAAAAAAAAAAAAAAAAAAAGAGAAACTTGTATCATCCTTATGTTATGTTAATTATTTTGGGGAAACTGACAACACAATTTGTTGGAAACTTCATTTGCCCTGTAAAGTGGTATCTCAAATCTTTTTTGAATACTTCAGTAGTGGCAGGAAAAAAAAAAAAAAGGTACTCTAAACCATCTCAGGAATTGCATTTCCTGAGATGAGATAAATAATCTCATATTCTGTCCCAAATAAATTTTATTTTCAGTACTTCTTCGTTTTCCCAGATGAACAATCTACTCTTCCTGGCTCAAGATGAAAATACTCTGTCTCAGGCTCCTATCTGACACACTACAGTATGATATGATCCCTTATGTTTCCTTCACACTAAATCGATGGTTTGCACAACAATAGCATTTGGCAGGCTATTTAAAGAGTATTTAAAGACTTATTTCCATCTATATGAAAATTAATTACTTTGGGGAGTTAACAACATTTCATTACAGGAGATATAAATGCAAAAGCTAAATACTTTTCCCCAAATGTCATAGCTAGTCTACTCCAACACAAGAGGACAGCACAACACACTCATGCCAACAAATTCAAAGCAAAAAGAATGCCTGTAAAAAACATGGAATACCACAACAAAAAGGAAATTGTGGATAATTTCAAGCTAGGTTGGATTAATAGATCTTCAAAAAATATATATTAGCTATTCTTAATATATTTAAGTCTGAACTAATCCTTTTCCCATACAGAATTTTCCTTGGAATGTTGACAACCATTTTCTGAAAAAAAAAAAATAGATTTTATCTCTCAACTATTTATTTACCCAAATTGCAACTTCTAAGAATAATGAATAGATTTTCTCACACATCTCAGCAAAGCAACTTACTACTATACAGTCTGCTGCAATATTTATTTTTTTAGCACGATGCCTTTTGCACATAAATCCTATCAGATTTCAATTAGGGAAATTTAAATACAATGATTAAATTACATACCAAGGTTTATAAAATACAAGCTTTGCATCTTGTAACTCTGGGGTAAGGAAAAATAGGCTCAGAAATAAAGAATTTAAGAATTCCAAGAGAACAGATATTACAGCAGCGATTTTCCAACTTTTTTGTATAACAAAACAAATCCTAAAATGGGATTTTACTCGCTCAGAGGCAGAAAAAGAATCTAGTGTGGATGTTATATCTGTCTTGCAGCCAAGTACTGTATTTAGGTTACAAGAAAGTGGGATTTGCACCATATTAGAGGAAATGAAAATAAGTTTATAGAAACAGGATTGCCATGAAATGACTCACTGGTTACAGTCTATCATCTAAATTTGAGCAGATAATTATTAAAGCACTTGCTCCGGTTTGCCATTTACTAGTAACACGACAACAAGAAACTGTATAATTTTCTACTGTATATTACATTCTCTTAAAAGGGTATCTTCAAACACAGGGAAGATTGCTCCTTCCCCGGGGAAGGTACTCAACCAGCCCAGAGAAGATACTGCAGAGTATGGACAGCCAGGCAACCACCTCAGAGAGCTTGGAGCCTGCAGCCCGTGGTGGGAAAGAACTGCAGTGAGGAGTAGGAAGAGGGAATTCCAAGGGACCACAGGGAGTAGATAAATGTATCAGCAATTAAGAAAGCCACTGAAGTGGCAGGAAGACCCTACCCATCCATGGGAACACAGGTCAAGAGTGTTTTTCCTGTTCTGTTTTGTTTGGTTGGTTTTTTTTCGGTGGCTTTCAGTTCTAGTTAAAATATTCAAGTTTCTAGATTTTACTGAAAAGAAGAAATTTTAAAATATCTTTTCCCAATAGGCCAGGAAATCTGTTCCCAGGTTTAAATAATCACTTCTCCAACTCAGGACAGTAATAGTGTGTTAACTGTCTTTGTCTGACTGGCTTCCAAGGCATCCTCCCATTTTGTCTCTCTGCTGGTATGACTGCAGGAGGAAAAACATTCCACTTAGACATGAAAAGGGTCTTTTTTTCCAGCATGACTAACGTCCAACACAGGGAGACTGAACAACTAAGTAATAAGCCTAGCACACTTCCTCCATATGCATGGTTTCCAAAGCACACTCCCTCCATATGCATGGTTTCCAGTAAGACTGCTGCTTTTATTCAGAAGGAATAACTTCTTTCTTGCACAGAGCTTGTAACTGTCAAGTTTAAAATGACAAACCCAAGATTCTACTGGGGTCGCTGATGAAAGCCTTCAACTTTGCATAAAACAAAGAAAACATTTTATTCTGTCAGATCATAAATATCCGATAGTCTGATAACAAAGAAATATGAAGGCAACTGAATTATTACAGTCCTTTTTTGACGCTTCCAGTGAAAAGATTTTCTGCATAATGAAATTCTTTTCCCTACTTTCACCCTGACTCTTCCCCTCCCTTTTTTCTTTTTTTTGTCCCCTCAAGTATATGAAAACAAATATTTTCATGCCCAACAAATCATGCTAACATACCTTTCACCAATTTACCATCACTGACAGTTTTAGAAGGAGGAACATCCTTTTTAGTTCCTGGAACTCCCTTAGCACTTGGTTCAGATGCATCTTCAGGTGTATGTTCATCTGCAAACTGAGTCTCACTTGGTGTATCACTGGCAGGATCTGCTGGAACATCTTCAGATGAAGATACACCCTTTTCAAAAGAAATGTGCAATCTTACTAATTGGGTAGCTCATGAAATAATCAATGCAGTGTCTGCAGAGCTGCAATTTTGCCAGCCATTTCAAAAATCACATTATCAACTAATCACATAACAGATAATTTTACATCAATAAGCACTCATGACCAGAAGTCTGCTTCTTATAAATAATGCACTGCTTCATGTAAATCCACAGGCTGCAAAAACTACGGGCCTACAGTGAGAGTGTGGTGTTATTTTACAGTAAAGAAATGTTCTTCATCTGGTACGCTTTTGACACTAGCTGTTTTAAAAATTATGTTTTTAAAATTACACCCTAAAAGCATATACTTTTTTCCCCCAAAAGTATATTCTTTTAGTTCTTGGTTTCCAGGGTCCAAGACAAAATCTGTTAAAGTTAATGCACAGCAACAAAATGAAAGCTTATGATGTATTTTCTTAATGTACAATTGCATGATACCTCCTTTACAGAACCAAGTTTTACCATGATCAACACAGGTCAATGTGCTTGATTTGTTCCAACATTTTGCTGGAGAACATTGGGCCTGTCAATGTTTTTTGTAGCATTAAACTGATACAGTACTGTGCTGAGATTTTCAAAAGAGTAAAGAATTACTGGTTTTACTGTTACATGACTGAATCATTCATGATGACCTCTATACTCACACTATAGAATTTTTAAGATGGATATTGTAGAACATTAAAAATATTACACGGTGAGTCAGCTGATGACATTAAGTAATTTAACATTTAAATGAGCCTCTCTCAATAAGTAGTTTGGTTGCTTTCTACTGACTGCTATTAAGTATACTAAATGTTGAAATACCAGGTATTGAAGAGATCTTTTCATTGCTCCCTGCAGCCATTCCCTGACCAACAGAACTAATTTCTAAAAATCCTCAAAGGGGAAAAACACAAGGAAATCAAGGACTTCATTCTGTATTTACTGAAGCCAGTAGTACAATTTCTTATTAACTTTAATGGCCAAAAGGAGAACAATCAATTGCATTAGTTGCCTATATGTACATTACTAAAGCATAAAGATAATATTGAAATCATTATTCTAAAAAATTAAAGAGAATGGCATTATCTACAAAACCACACAGTAGGAAAATATGCATTGCTACACATGACCTCAAGGGACTTAAACCAGTTTCTGCTTGCTTCTTAGATCTACTCATTTGAACACTTAAAATGTATCCTTTATTATTACACTTTGGTTAGTGTAGAATTTCCCCCCAAAATTAAATGTTAACAAGTCCTTATTAATTATGTAAGTATTATGAATTCAACCCTCTGGTTTGCAAGTAAGAAATTCTAGAACGTCAGCATTGTGGTACAGGACAATTTTGCATGTAATTTATCAACTGAGTAAGAACATATTTACCACATCTTATCTTTAAAAACAGTGTTTTCAAAACATTTTTCACTATTAGAACAAAATATTAGACACAAATGTTTCAAACAGCAAGTAATATTGAATTTCTTCATTTTCCACAAAGCGATTTTGAGGAGTTTACCCACAGGCCTACCTTCTTCAGTTTAAGGCTCCCCAATCTAAGCCTTGAGATGACAAATGACATAGGGCCTAAAAAAAAAATAGCTCTTTCCCATGAAAAGTTAACATCAGATAATGTATTTCTGATACTATTTGCAATTTTCTTTTCAATACGAGAACAATATAATGAGATTAGCTAACATGAGAACAGTTAAAAACAAGGATGCCAAGTCTGGGTATCACCTTCTAATACATGAACTAGAAGAAGCAGAGTAATTAGGAAACAGATGTGAGATTTTGAAACTCCAATATTGTTTCAGTCAATCATGACAGGCCTCTTCTTTAATAAAACTTCCCTCAGAAAAAAGCATGTCAGAAAAGTAGTCTATCTACTCTGCTACTGTTCTACAAAGAACCATGAGGAATATGAGAAGCTATGGTTGTTAAAAGTTATACCTAACCTTTCTGACAACAGAACACTAATCCCAATCCTACAAAGCTCTAAACCTCCACAAAGCATATATTCCCTTCTACAAAAAGCAGAAAGATTTCCAGGTTGCCACTGTGTATTACAACCACACTGAGTGGCTGCTTATACTAAAAAGCAAGAACTAAATATCATACCCACCTCACATATCCTTCTTTAAATGCCATGCAAAACTAAAAAGCAACAAAAAACCATTCACATCCTCTGCCTAACAATTTTTTCATAATGCAGTGTTCCATTTTTAAAATGTCTCATTGTGACACAACAGATAAGCAAGTCCTTTTCTCACTTACATTGCATTTTTAATATATGTATATACAAATACACATGTACCTGACAGTTGTCACTGCTCTCTTTTTGAAGGAAGAACTGTTTTTTAAATTCATAATAAGCATTATACTGGTGCCATGGTTGCAGGAACTCAAATCTGTTAAAAGAAAACTGAATATGTGAAAATGCACATGAACATAGTAACTACCAACAATCCTTTGCCATATAATTTTTTCGAGCAAATGGAATATTATTTGATGTTTGGAATCACTGTAACTTATGCCTAAACTTCCAGAGGATACACATTGAGAGCATGCTTTCTAGAGACATTTATATTAGGTTAGTTGTTTTGAGGATTTGGGCAATAATGGTTTGGCATTACCTTTAAGTCACTCCATGGATTTTAATTAAAAAAAAATAGTACTTCTCTTCTTGAGACCTGCATGTCCTAGTAATATATTTAAAAATTAAAACCTCAACTTCTGAAACAGAACTTAAAGTAACATTTTCTCTTACCTGAGATCATTCTTGGCACGAACACTGGTTTCGAATTTTATCCCATTCCTAGCAACATACTCAGCTAGCTTATCAATAACAGGTTGGATATCAGGGGGTGGAGGTATAATAGCAACCACGGGAGCAATTGTGCTGAAAGCATCAAAAGTACATTGTTTTAATAAACAGAACATAAATATATTTCAGGCTCTTGGTTTAACAAAAACCCCCGAAACATTACATAGAGGTTTGCTCTCTGGGTTCATTATTCAGTTAAAGTAACTTGATTTTCCATTACATAAAAAACATCATAGTAGCTGAGTAACAATAACCACGTACAATATCAAAGACCAAAGTGGAGGTAATCAAAGCTGTATAAACACTGGCAAATGCTACTGATGAATCACCAGTAACAGAACCATTACTAAATACTTCATATTGAAGTGCAGGAAACAGACCCCTCCAACGAACAAGCAAATCTGTTATGTGGTACCTTGTAGATGTTGTGGTAGAAGTCAACCCACTGCTGCTATCGGTTGTGTCTGGGGGAGGTGGAGGTGTCGTACCAGGGGGTGGAGGAACTGTTGCTACTCCTGTAGTGCTTGATACAGTCACCCCTGCAGGCAACGCACTGTAGTAGGTGGCAACATCTATTCCTGGAGGTGGAGGCGCGAGGCAATAGGTTCCATCAGGTAGCATATAGTAACTATAATACATGGCTGCCACAGTTGCTATAAAAAGATAGATTTAAGAACAATGTTCTAATTAGAAGCACCAAGTTAAACAAAACAAAAACCAATCAACATTATTGCATCAGTACAAACACCCTGAGAATCCAGACTCACACAATGCACTAAGAAATGGTATCTAATTTCTTGTGTGGAAAAAAACCCCTGTGTTTAGGATGAATAAGAAATATATAGATCAAGGGACAGAATCAGAATGTACTGAATGTCAGTTGGAAGCCAAATAGTTATGCATGGCGAAGTGAACCAGAGAAGGCCTATTAAAAAATGACCTAATATTAAATCATTCTTCCTAAATCTAATTCTCTTCCAGCAGTTTAACTCAGTTAAAACTTTGTATGTATTAAGAAAGAAATGTGCATATATTCAAAACTAACAGAGAGAAATTAAACCACTAGTATCGTTACATATATATGTATATTAAACCACTATATCATTATATATAGATACACCCCTACTTACTGAAACCTCAAAAAGAAAGACAGGCTTTCAATTTAACACCACTACAATGAACAACTGATATAAGCAAGTTTTCCACACTAGAGGCTTCTACCATTCTAAATATTTATTTCTTGAGAGTGTAGAGGCTTATGGCTTGCTTTCTTTTTTTCAGGACAATATTTTATTTTTAAATATTTTATATTTATAATTTAGTTTAACACTTTTAAAAGGCAGTTACTTCTTGCAAATCTAAAGAATTTCTGCAGGAAGACATATAAACAGAAAGTATTAAGGTAAAATATTCCAAAGGATTTACAGTAAGTTTACATTTCTGGAGACAACGTTTAATCAATGCATTAAATTACAATGAATTATCCTCTTAGAAGTTTCATAAACATTCCTGTGTGGCAGTATTTACTTTCTTCAAATAATAAGTTCTCTATAAGAAGAGCAGAATAAATATCTGTTAAGTTTTAAAGACAGGGATAGGAGTTGCACACTTAACTTGTATTGCTAATAAATTATAATCTCCCAGTTTGTAACACATACATTCGGATTCAAGCATGACATGAAAGTAATAGAAAAACCGATGAGCATTATTCTACAGAGATACTTATTCTGATTTTAGTCTTTCTTGAAATAACCAGTAATTTTCAATTTCTCCACAGAAATCTTATTTCAGTTTTATTAAGATTCTCTATGGGTACAATTTTAAATAAAAATTACTTCCATGCATGCTCCTCTCCATATATTACACTGACAACACCTGTAATCCTCTGGGGGTTCTGAATTTATAATGCATCAAAATCAACTCAGATCATTATGGTGATATTTATTTACAAAAACTTTACTAGAAAACCAAGAACTCCCATCACCACCCCCACCCTGAAGTAACATTACTCATTACCTACAAATTTACAATATCATGAAACCCTACTGTAGTCAAGGCTGCAATACAAATTTTCTTGTATCTTAGTAGCATCAAATGGCAAGACCCATAAAAGAAAGGGTATTTTTCATTTCGATATTTAAGGAATCAAGACTTTCAGAATCCTGGAATTTGAAAAGATTGAGAGGCATGTAAACCCAATTAAGTTTGACTTCACCTTTTTGACTATCAGAATTTACAAAATTTGCAGGAGCTTTACACAAGGCCTGCATTAAGCAGCTTCAAATATAATGGAAACCAGACACATGCAGGTAAGATAATGTTGCTAAAAATTTCATAGCAAAGTTTATTCTTAAAGAGGTTATAGACAGGATGGGATTTACATTTATCTGAAACAGTTCAAGAAAAATCTAAGATTAAAGATTTAATAATAATTTGGAGATAGAATAAAGGCTTGGCATTTCAATATCAGGCACAGAAAAGGCATTTGAGCATACAACTTTTCCACACTGCTCATTTAGAATTGAAATATATCATTGCTTTTGTTGCTTTTTGAGAAAAAAAAAAACCAAAATAGAGTATCTGCTCCTTTATAAAAGAATACCCTCTGTAGCTATGGAACTTAAAAGATAATACTGCCTCTCAGATACTGTAATGAGAAATATAATTTAAAAAAAAATCTATTTTTAACTTTGAATCTTGCATATTCCTGAATTTTATTTTCTATATATAACACTACACCAGTGCACAGAACAAAAAGTAAAATAATGAAAAACTATAGGAATCGACTGTTTAATAAAAGACTTATTTCCCATAAAACTACTTCCAACCTTAGTACAGAATATTGTATTAAAATCTGTCTTTATCACTTCAGTGGGATGCTTCGGTTTACGTGATTTTACCTTTGCAGATTTTTCTTATTGTTAGACACTTCAGCAAAACTGTTCAAAGTAGATTTACTATCTGCATTTTGCATTAATTATTTTATAGAACATTTTTATATTCAATACTGAAGGTATTCATTAGGCTTCATTAATAGAAAATGATGGAAGTTATCAAAAAATACTAAGGGTATTGTGCTAACCATACTCACAGACTAGATACTTGCCCTCTTGCCTGTCCCCCCACCCCCCCATTTCTGTTTTTTTAAAGCAGCTAACAATTGGACAGATACCCAGTGGAAGAACGCACCTTCAAAGACTCAGAAGATTAAAAAAGAATAAATATCAGTTATGAATCATCAAGTGTGAAACTAACAAATTTTCTTCCCACCATCATCCACATACAGTTCATCAAGACACACCACCAGCTGTCTAATCACAATACACTTACAATCAGAAGAATATTCTGCTTGTGATGTCTGTACAGCTGCCCCATCTGTTGACTGTGGTGTAGACGAATTATTGTCTGATTGTGCTTTGCGCACCAGTGCTGCAAGTGGATGATCAGGGTCTACTACCTTCAAAGGCTGAAAAAATGTTGAGAATACATAAAGACTACAATTTGAAGTACATTTTTAAAGCATGATAGCATCAACCTCATTTGGAAAGCAAATTTATCTGTGTTAATAATATCAGTAATATTGTTCAAACAGTGAAGTGAGTGTTTTTGTAGTTCTCACATCAGAATCAAATTCTTTTTAGAAAATTACTGTAAAACAAAAAACAAAATTAAAACAACAACAAAAAAAACCCTTTAATTTAATGTGAACAGAAATCCATGACCAAAAAGAAAAAAAATAAAAAGGGTATTACTCTTACTCATTTAATGCTAAGGCTGGGATAAAACACAGAACCTGACCCTCTGAAAGTCTTAAATGGGTACAACCATCTGTCATTCTCATTATTCCATCACTGATCCAACTCAGAAAACAAAAATAACTAACACATTCGGCAAAATGTACATTAAATTAATAGTACATTCTGATGAAATATTATTTGCTGAAACTATTACTTCATGTCAACATTTTATCTACTAAAATCTAAAAAGAAAACATTCTCTCTCAGCTTATATACAGAAGGCATTCAATATCTTAATCTTTTCAGTTTCAATACAGGTTCTGTGGGATAAATCCTTGAGTGGTGCCCTCAATACCAGAGGGAATCAAAACGAGAAATAATTCCTTGCAAATGGAAAAGTAACAATTTATGTACTAGAGAAAAGGTAATTTCAAAATTTACCAAAACAGACTTAAATTACTAAGACACCGTCTGGGAAAAAAAAATAAATTAATAACAAAAGATCTTAACACCTGCATATTAAAATTTTTGTGCCTATGTATCAGATGTTTTACAAAATAGAAAATGATTTTAATAGGGTCAAGTACCTTCACGAGCTCTTCAAGCCTACTGCATTTTTTAGATGCAAAGAGACTCGGATGCAGATAATTTCCATCATCATCATCGTCATCATCATCTTCTTCCTCAGATTTGACTCTTGAGTCTAAATAAAAGCAACGTCTGAATTTTATTTGGGTTTACTAAGGTTTTGTATTGGGAGCGAAAGACGGTACAGGACAAGCATGCCTTCTTAAACTACTGTTTACATAAATATCCTTATTCACAAAGTCATAGATGCAAGAAGATATTGCTAGTCATCAGTAAAACTAAAAACTAAGTGCACAGACCAACTTTCCGTTGGACTAGAGGTATACAAGTGTTCCTAAAAGCTCCAAGGTCATAGCAGCTCTTGTATCTAAAAGTTTCCCAAAACAATCATGTCTTTTAAAAATCTCTTCCAATTTAAGTAAAATTTTGAATTATCACATCAATTTCAGCTGCAGGATAGCAGCACTGCCATTGCAACACACCAGTAAGATGTGGCTACTTTTCCAAAAAAGACCAGTGGATGGATGTTTCAATGATTCACATCTTGAAGTCATGCATCTGACAAGCAACAACTTACGTTTTTTCTCGTCCGCTTTATTTTCAGAAGGAGCAGCATATCGTCCCTCTTTCATAGCCTTCTGAATGAATTTGTAGTAGGGATTGAGGTAGTGATCAAATCGCAAGAAGTCAAACTGGGAGTTACGTGCTTGCTTGGCTTTTAGCATAATCTCAAACTGTGCTCCCTGCTTGCAGACAAAGTTTGCAGTTCGTTCTATAATCGCATGCATTTTTGCTGTTGGTGGCTGTGGGAGTAAAATAACATATATTTGTATTTTCGTAAGCAGCTTGTAAAGTGTGTTAGACCTCCAGAGGGAATTAGAAAGAGCAGTAGTTCCCTGCCCCTCAGCTTTCTCTAGCAACTCAGTTTCATAATCACTTTCAGCTAGTGAAAGCACATTAGCAAAAAAAAACCAAACCAAACCAAAACAACAACAAAAAAACCCAAACAGTCCAAATCTTCCCTAGCTGCTCATTCATTTCCTTTTGCAAGATCCATTCTTATCAACACAACTACTTTTGCCATTGCACACCAAACTGAAGAGAGGAACAAATCCTGGTTCAATTTGATGTAGCAAAAAAAAAAAATCTTTTAAGCCACATATATTCCCATAGTCATAGAGACACTTCTGCTGACACAAGACAGGAGACAGATGTGTTTCTTGACAAAGCAGTGCCAACTTGCAGTGGCCCTACCTTACAATACCTCAAGATGCTCTGAAGATTCAACATGTACGGTCTTTCCAAGAGCTGTCCTTTATTCAGTTATCACTGAATGTGCAAATATTGTTCCCTAACTAGAAAAGCTTGTCACTACACACTTGCTTGGAAGGAACATGTTGCATCTTAAGATCAACATAAGAATTGCAATTCCTATGTACTGTCTCATTCCCATGAGTCATTTAAGTCATTAGGCAGCATCCATGCATTTCCACTCTTGAAATCCCATCTAAGGAGCACTGCCATATCAAACCCAAAAGAGGTTAAAAGAACAAGAATATAGTTAAAGAATGAATGATCTTCACCAATCACTGTCTGTAATTTCATACTCAGATAGCTTTGTTTTGTCTTGTGCTCAATAAACTGTAGGAACACATACTCTGTGTGCCTATAAAGACTGAAGTGTCACATTAATGATTTGGTTTAGCTTTGCATTTTTATTGGTCTAGATTCAGAAGTATGCTGCAAACCTCAGAAAATATTTTTCAGAAGATTGGGAGCACGTGAGACAGTGGTACACTATTTAGGGAAAAAAGTCTGAATATGATCAAACAGCACACTTTTAGAAACAATTTGCAGCTGATTGGATCCCTTACTAGAACAACATGTTCAATATGGAAAATAATTAGTTTTTTCAAGTTTTACTTATCCCTCTAAAACACTATAAAAGATTATTTTAATTAGAGGCAATGAAGTTCTCAACAAACCGATAACATTTTGTGCATTGCCAGTTTCACTATTTAATCATACATGACGTTTCTCTATTTTTGCAGTTAGCAACAGAAGTACATAATACACTTAAGGCCAAGAGGTTCATAAACAAAGCTTCAAATCAGCAAGGAAGCTCAAAAAAATATTTTATCTGAAATTACTATCTGGTCTTGAATTTGAAACTGATATCACTATAATCTCTGGAAGACAAGCACTATGAATATTAATGTGCTTTTAATTTACTTCTGAGATTATTAACACCACTGATCTACACAACTTCAGAAACTTTACAAAATGAAAAACATTATGCTGCAAACAGATGCAGGTATCATAGATATGTTCTAGTTTGCTATTACATTTAATAAAAACACTAAACATTTAAACTGGGAAGAATTGTTAAAACCTCTGAAATTAGAGAGTACTTGCCAGAGCCAAGAAAAAACCCTTCTGAAAAATGCTCCAGTGACATAAGTGCTATCATCTAGTCAGATATTCTGTTCCAATCTTTAATCAGTACTGTAATTAGAAGCTTTTCCATGAGTGAGTCTCCCTTACTGCAAGTTAAGCAACTATCCTCCAATCTTCAGTAAGCTTTGGAAATAATTTTAAGTCTTATGTTGCCTCTCAGTATTCTCATCTGGAAAAAACAAAGGAATTTTCAATCTCTCCTCATAACTTTAACTGGTAATTTCCTCTTACGACCCACTTCCATTGCATCCACTCACTTCTTAAAATGCAATGGTCAAGAACAGTCACCTTTGCCCACAACCCCGGCATCAACAGTTTTAAGTAGTGCAAGACATCCTGCATCCTCAGCACAACTCTTCTATTTTAAGCAATTGGAGCTGCCATACACTGAATGTTCAACAGCTCACTACAGCCTCTAGATCTTTTTTGCAGTAGTGCTGCCTAAGTACTTAGTCTCCATTTAACATATGCACTTCAGATTGCTCTGTATTACAGGAATTATTTTATATTTGTCTTTATTGAACGGCACCTTGCAGATTGTGAACAAAGTCTCCAAGTTAGCAAGCTGATTCTCAAATTTTATCTTACTTCCAAGCACTACAGTTTCCTCCCCAAAATGATTCAAAGATTACAAGTGTCTTCCCCCCGCCATAACCATCTTCACGTGCCACGTTTTTCAACTTGAATGTTAATTAGCAGTAAACTCAGGAAAGACCTAGAACACCACTCTGTCATTTCCACAAATCAGCAATATGGCTGTACACCTTTTCCAACCGCTTGTGGATTGACATAATGGCAGTATAATTTATGATGCTACTTCTTTCTCTTTTTAAGAATGAGAACAGAGTAGAGTGAGAAGTATTCCTGAAATATGCCTGTAAAACTCCACCAATAATTTACCAGGCTTCTCTCCTTCATAGCAATTGAATTAAAAAAATACAGAATAGATACATTCAGTGGTGAAACTGCATGACTTGATTAGAACAACAACAATTAATTGAGGCTTACAAAAAAAAAATTCTCACAATTCCCAATCCAAGGTCAAACATAGTTTTCAGAGCTGCTGCCTAGATATTTTGGTTTGTTTATTTTTTTTTTTTTAAATCACAACCAAATATGACCACCTTTGTTTTCTGTTCATTTGAATATATTAGAATTCAATAGCTGACTGACAAATTACTTCAGTAAGCCCCATACTGCATTCTACAACTTCCATGTAAAATATACCTTAAGTTTCAGAACAAAATTAAAGCAAAGCAGCTAAACCAGCAAACATTCTTTCACCAGCAGTTACTAACAGCATCCAAATGCTAAATAAGCAGCTTCTCACTGAAAACACAACATTCTTACTCTAAGATTAAAGTATAACTCATAATTTAAAGGCAATAATGTATAAAATTCTTTCCTGAAGTCAGAAATAGGTTTGTAAGCACTTCACTAAAGGAATGTATCATAAGATTGTACAGAAATGTCGAGGAAGTAAAATTAGAACAAGTTGCATATTAGATTTGTTAAATAGCTCTTATTTCATATAAAAACCAGAGCAGGATAAAAGTTTTCAATTAAAAGGTAATGAAGTAGAAAAACACTCTTAAACAAAAACCCTGTGTTCATCATTATTTATTCTAACATAGTGCTTTGAGTCTTTACTGGCCAAGGTTATCAAGTTGAGAAGACAGACCAAATATAAATTAACTTTTATGACATGGTCCCTCATGGCATCCTTGTCTCTAAATTGGACAGACATAAATTTGATGGATGACCACTTGGTGGATAAAGAATTGGCTGGGTGGTTACACTCAAAGAGTTGTGGTCAACAGCTCAATGTCTGAGTGGAGAGCAGTGACGAGTGGCGTTCCTCAGGGGTCAGTGCTGGGACCAGCACTGTTTAACATCTCTGTCAGCAACATGGACAGTGAGATCAAGTGCATCCTCAGCAAGTTCACTGACAACACCAAGCTGTGTGGTCTGGTGGAGGGAAGGGATGCCATCCAAAGGGACCTGGACAGGCTGGAGAGGTGGGCCTACACAAACCTCATGAAGGTCAACAAGGTCAAGTGCAAGGTCCTGCACACAGGACAGGACAAGCCAAGCAGAGACACAGGCTGGGCGAGGAGTGGATTGAGAGTAGCCCTGTGGAGAAGAACTTGGGGGTAGTAGTGGACAGAAAACTGCCTGAGACAGCAATGTGTGCTCACAGCCCAGAAAGCCAACCGTGTCCTGGGCTGCATCAAGAGATGTGTGGCCAGCAGGTCGAGGGAGGGGATTCTCCCCCTCTACTCTGCTCTCATCAGACCCCACCTGCAGTGCTGCGTCCAGCTCTGGGGTCCCCAGTGTAAAAAGGACATGGACCTGCTCAAGTGGGTCCAGAGGAGGCCACAAAGATGATCAGGGGGGTTGGAGCACCTCCCCTGTGAGGCCAGGCTGAGAGAGTTGGGGTTGTTCAGCCTGGAGAAGATTCTGGGGAGATGTTATAGTGACCTTCCAGTACATAAAGGGGCCTACAGGAAAGCTGGGGAGGGACTCTTGATTAAGAAGTGTGGGGATAGAATGAGGGTTAATTATTTTAAAGTGAAAGAGGGCAGATTTGGATTAGATATAAGGAAGAAATTCCTCCCTGTGAGGGTGGTGATACACTGGCACAGGGTGCCCAGAGAATCTGTGGCTGCCCCCTCCCTGGAAGGGTTCAAGACCAGGTTGGACGGGGCTGTGAGCAACCTGGGCTGGTGGAAGGTGTCCCTGCCTGTGGCAGGGGGTTTGGAACCAGATGATCATTAAGGTCCCTTCCAAACCAAACTATTCTATGACACAGCAGAAAGAATATTATCTGACTTCCCAGTAACTTTTATAAAGCTTGAAATAAATTGAAAATCCTCACTGTTACAACTGTATTCAAGCAGATGACTGTTCAGGTCCCTTCAGGAAAAATACACAAGTTGCAATTAAGTTCACAGTTTACTATGTAGTAAATTCTGGTAACATCACAAGAAGGAAAGAGCTTCTATATGCTAACGCTTCCAAGCTATTTCAGAATTTGCTAGAAATAAACTACTGCTTTTATCCTTGAATAGCCCAGTCTTAAACACAGCATTTATATTTGATCACTTCCTACTCCCTTCAGATTGGGACTCAATGAAAAAGAATAAATAAATTAAAAAAAAAAAAACAAAAACACAACTTGAACAGAAGCAATCTTTTGCTTTAATGGTCCTTTATATTTGGAATGTAAACTTGGGCATCTCCGTGTATCCATTGCAAGAACCACTGCCCTTTTTCTGCATTATATAAAGTAGTATCACAAGTGATACTAAACGCACTTAGCATAAACACTGTAATAACTTCAGTGTGAAAAAAAAGATTCAAAAGAGTTGATGAAACTCAAAATCTCAAAAAATATTTGAAATTAAGCTACCATTCTAGAATAATTTAAAATGTACCACGTTAAAGTTAATGGGGGAAAAAACCCCAAAACAGTAAAGCACCATAAACTCATTGAAATTTGACAGAAATGTAGGTTGCGTGAAATGCATACACATACCAGTTCCACATCAGAAGGTACATTCAGTCCCGGAGGGGCAACAAAAGGTTCTTCATTTTCTTCTACATTTTCTGTCTGAGCTGTTTCTACAAGAAATGATAGAATAAAATACTGTAGGACAAAACATATCATGGTACCCAAATGTTAACAAAAAAATACTAAAATACAGTATATCTAAAAGGATGTGCAATCAATTAATTTATCAAATGAAACTATAACCAGCATTTGCATTTAAAACATTTAAATATGGTTCCTCTCTCTGTTGTTACGTGTAGTTTAGTTAAGATTGCATAAATTATGTCTTAATAGAGGTATTAAGAATAATAAAATCCTATAAACCCTGGCCCTGACTACAGTGCTGAAGACAAGTGTCAAATCAAACAGAAAGCATACATTTTCATATTACTTCTTGTTTTTACAAGAAACCGCAAGCAAAATTAAAGGGAACCATTTTCAATGCACTGGGTGAATCCTTTCCTAACAATGAGTAAAATACTACAGCAATCCAGTATCTCTAAAGCTGTTAAGACCCTTACATCTGGTCTATCTGAATTCAGTTCTCTGTTAATCAACCATTTCAGCCTATGCAAACAAATCTAAGCACTTTCATCAGCTTCCTAACCCTAATGAAAGCTGTATGGGAATGCAATAGGGAGGCTAAAAACCATTTTCCTTATGTACAAAGATAAACCAGGAGTTGTCTTAATAACTGATTAAGGTAAATGTTGCCATTAATCTGTGAGTTCAGTCTAAAGATGGTAGGGTTCCTTTTTTATCAAGCTTAACATACCAAAATATTTAACACATTTATCACATGAACTACTCATTTAAAAAAGTTATTCTTCTATAAAGGCCAATTTGTATTATATTCTGTTATTTGGTGTACCAGAAATGTTCCTCTGAAAATATTTTGCTTCACAAATTTTTATAATAATTGAAGTGGAAAGTTTACTTTTTAAAGTAACTTTTAGTATTATCTATCATGGTAGCTTTAAGAGAAAATGCATTCCATTTTTATCCTAACAAATGAGACAGCACAAATTGCATGAAAACCTGACTATGGGAACTATGGCCACAGACAGCAGAACAGCCTAATCATGCGTGAGGTGTCATAGCAATTACTGCATACAAGATCTTACCCATGCAAGAAAGAGAGTTAGCTTTTTTGTTGCTGTCTGGTGAGTTGCTTTTTAAATGAACTCAATAGTTTAACTCCACAAAGGCACACAGAAGTTTTAGCATCAATGAAAGGAGGAAAAAGCAGCAGACAAAGAAGAATAAGACTGTTTCTTTTGGCAGTAGCTCCAGCTAACACTTGAAGTGTTCGCAGAACTGCAGCCTGTAATTCATGTTACTGTTATCTGCGTCTTCCAATACTGGATTTTACTCTACTGTGATTTATAAAAAGTGAATGTCAAGAATTTATAGTTCTGTATTATTGGAAATTGTTACCATCTTACCATCTATTAAAAGTCTGTACAGTTCAGCTACAGCAAAACACAATACCATTGTTTCTATCTCACTTCTTCCCCAAGTACTATCAAGTGTTACTAGAAAATGCCCTTTTGTTACCTATCATTACTAAAAATTTTCTAGAAGATAAGGTTTGGTAAGAAAGCTCACAACTGAGCAATGCTCCAGTGACCTGCTACGAGGATCTGTACTTCTCAGCAGCAGCACTGAGAACTCTCACGTTACACCACAAGATTTTGTAATAGCTTAGCATGACACTTCAATGATGCATCAAATATTAATTAACTAAATATTAACTTGTTTGAAGACTGGGCAATTATATATGTCTTTGCCAATGACTAAGTCATCAAATTTTAGCATTATTCCTAAAAATATTACTTCATTAATAATAAGATATATTATTCTAGATGTTCTAGGAAAGAAAAATAATGTGGGGCAGCCCAGACACAACTGGAACTCATGACAGCTTTCTTACCAAATGAAACTAATTTTTATTTATCCCATACACTCTTGATCAAATGTAGATTCTGTAACATTATGGCACATTTTCATACAGTTTTGCTAAGGCCTTCTACAATACAGACACCCTAGAAAGGTTCATCAGATTCCTTTTGAGTAATCAAATAGAGAGGGAATTCACCTCTTTAATCTCTCTGCAGTAGAGAAAAATGGGGGAGCCAATCTACAAACACGTTCTTCTCTATCACTTCTAATTTTTCAGTAGTCTTATCCCTATCCCAGATCCACACAATATGAAAAACACCCCTATGAAAAGAAACACTCAAAAACTGTACACAAAAAGAACTTAGAAACTATTTGGTTCTGGAATTTACCAGACAAATGGGAATAGAACAAATGAAATGAACCCCAAAAAAGACAACACAGTTCAGCATCAATACTGAAGAGTACAGGTGAAACCCCTGGTGAAATGTAAGTGGCACGGACACTGCCCTGACACAACCTCTCACACACAGCAACAAAAACCACTAAGATTTAGCACCTAGAATGATCCTGCATTGTAAACACACCTTGGTAAAAAAAAAATGCACATCTCATACCATGGTAACCCACCAATATGTAGTTAGACAATCCAACTGTTAATTAAACAATCCCAACTTCTCTGAAACATAGTTCAATAACACTTGAAAGCTTCCTTAAGACTTCATGTTAAAAATGCAACGTTATTGTAATTAAAGATGGGAGTGTGAGAACTTGAATTCTGCAGTTTTTAAGACCATGCAGATGGACACACTGTGTTGAAGCCAGACTTGTTTATAATAATTAAGATGACAACATCTGAACTTAAAAAAAAATATATATATTCTCATTAATTACTATTCTATGTTTGCAATGATCTTTTCCTTCTTGACCAAGAAACAGTGTTAACAGCCAGCCATATGATGAATTACTATTTTTTTCTGAATAAGAATCTGCAAGACAGAATTAAATTTCCTATCCCGACTACCATAGTATTGACTGTGCCATAGAAGGAAAACATTAAGCACATTAGTAACACAGTTCCATAACGACTTTGCTGAAATGCTTTGAGATTTTTTACTTGCATTTTAATGAAACACACATTTTTCGACGTTCAAGTGCAAGTGACACAGAGGTACCATGTTCTTCCTCTCAATTAACCCTTGCTATTTTTACCCCTTACCTCTTTGTTTTGCAGGCTGATGCTCTTCCTCCTCCGTGGGTTCTGAAGGGTCATAATAATCACTGCCATAACGGAATCCCACTGCATTATAAGTTCCATCCTCTGCCAAAGCTTCACTCAGTCTTTTATATTCCTCCTCTTGAACAAAAATGCAATTACCAATCATTAGAACATATTTAAAAGCTTATTTCTTAAAAAAAAAAAAAAGTAGCAGTATTTATTAGTTTAGTAAAAAAAAAAAGTAGTAATATCTCTTACTTTAGTTTTTAAATGACGTTTCACCTAATCACTTTAGCTTTCATTAAAAACTGAACAGAAAAACACAGCATGTACATATGCTGACTGTTTATTTCTTCCTGAAGAGATAAAGGCTGTAGGTTAAAACACTGTAATGTAATAATGCATACAAGAGCACAGAATTTCATTTACACAACACTACAAATGTAGCAGAGTGAGTTTATTTGGGGTTTTTTTGGGTCTGAAATCCCAGTGTGCCCTCAGAATCTGGGCAATTTCTGTGTGGATCTATATTTAAACTATCCTGAGGTCCTCTCACATACGCAAAGACTCCCGTTTTTCGAATCCACTGGGTACTGTCAAGATAACATCAGAAAAAGAGAGTATAAAATTAGGAGTAAATTTAATTTCATAATTATTTATTTAAACGTGTGCTAAACTCAGGAAGTTTCCTTGAGCAATACCTTGCCTCGCCTCCTCCTCAAGCAAGTCCGTATGCAAGGCTAAATACCTCTCTTCATCACAGAGGGCTTCTATTCTAGCTTCCTCTTCAGACAACTGATAATCTCTGTTCCACGTGGAATATTCAGCATCATATTCAGAAAGGTCATGTAGGTGACCACGCCCATCATACCTGCAAGATGAAACAGCTGGTCAATGCAAAAAACTTAGGGCTTGGTTTTATGTGACTACTTAAATACTTACCCATTAAAAATAAAAAAAAAAAAAATACTTATACGTTAAAGCATATTTCCTTTTAGAAGTTACGTTTAATTTTGCTAATCATTTGTCACCAACTATCGAAAATTTGTTTAACAGTCTAAATTCCTCTCAAAGAAACTAATAAATTATTACAATTAAAGGCAAAGGTATCCTTTAATAGTTTAAGTGGGATCCATTTCCTTAACAGCTCTTACCGTACGTGCTTCAACCAACCAATCATTGTCACTTGCAAAATACGTTTTTCTGGAAAGTCAAATAGCTTACATTCACACAAACCCGAATACATAAATACCTATCCGTAAGAACCAAACGGTCGAAATTTCCTCGCTTCTTTCTGCTAGTCCCGAACTCTCAGGAGATATCTTCACCATAGAAACTTGCGTCCATTGGAGGTAAAATCATGGCTAGGCTCGGCCCCTAGCCATTTGGCTGAGGAAATAAGTTCTGGGTTATGTGATAGAGAGACACACATACATAGGAACAGTAACATATACATGCAATTTAAGGAGGTTCACCGTAAAAACGGCAAAGATCAATGACGTACAGTTCCTTTCTACTAAGCAAAAATAATTTCATTTGCAGGAAAAGCACTGCATTGGGATAATGTTTATGCATCAGTAAGAGAAACTGATTGAAAAGTAAAGTGACAGTAAACTCGACTCCGCTGAGGTGTCTTCCCACACACAACTCTTGACTTGTGCCAACTTGCTAGACCAAAAACAAAGAAAGTAAATATTCTTGTAGCAGAAAGTTAATGAAACATGTAGGTCTGGTTAATCAAGCTCTGTCCACAGGCAAACTTCAACCCATGTCTTCTCATAGCAATGTGCTTTTCTCAAAAGAAAATGAAGACTTCCTGCTGCTGGAGATAAAAAGAATCTAAGCTTTCAAAGGAGTGTATAAGATTAGTATTTGCAAGCTATCTTAACTTACAAATGTCTGTTATTTAGATTTTTTCAGTATTATATATACGTACATGCACATACTTAGTTTTTGCTCCCAACAATTTCTGTAACGCCTGTAAACTGCGTTACTGTTGCACAAGATGACAAAATGGCTCTACCTACTAATGAAATCTGCCACAAAAGTGATCGGGAAAAGAAGTGTTTATCTTAACACTTCTATTCCAATGTAAGTAAGAAATTAAACATAGCTACAAACATTTATCGTTGTTTTTTCATGTTTTTGTGTTGATTACAATTTAACAAATTCATTTCTCCAGTCTTATGGAAAGAAACGAAAAAATCTTCCCTAACTCATATTTTTCCAAGCCAAATATAGTTGTTAAATCAAAACAAGAAAAATCATGTATAGCACCAAAGCAATGATGAAATTGAGGGAACAAATGTCTATAGTATGTCATGTGATCCTTTTCAAACCAAAATCCTTCCATCTTTCCCACTGATGTCTTCAGGGTCAGCCACAACTCTTAAATTGTACTTTCAGTACTCCACTTAAATATATCCAACCTGACCTCCCATTTTCCCTCTCTCCAGGAAAATACTCAGAAAACTCATTCTGAATTAATTTATTTCTAAATCCCACCCTGCATTGCTGAAACAACTTAGAGACCAGAAGAAACATCAAAGCATTTTCTATTACTCCCTCTGGCCATGAACCTGTACCTACTGCAAAACAACCAAAAAAAGCCACTGACACAAAATTTGAAAAGCAACCATCCAAAATCAAAGCCATTCTGCCTAATACCATGAATCATGGCACAAGAAAAAAGTAATTAGGCAAAGAACTGCTTTGGGAGTATCCCACCATCAGCCTGCAGCCAGATTACCTAGGAGAAATAAGAAAGCCCCATTTCACCTAAGGTGCATAAATACCTTTCCACTTCCCATGCTGCACCCTTCTCACTTACAGAATATATAAAGTGCCTAATAAGTATTCTCAGGCAGTAAGGCTCCCTTGGTTTCCAAGTGAGAAAAGATGATGTTTGTGATTTGCACTGAAAAGGCACAGATCATTCCTACTCTCCACTCCACCCTGCAAACCTTACCCTAACAAGTGGAGCAGAAAGACCCAGCGCACAATGACTGTCAGAAGGAGGGGGAACCTCCCAGCACCGCCAGAGCAGGGAACCCCAAGTTCCCACTGCCGGGGGGGACAGCCCTGCAGCGTTACAACAGCAGCACTCGCAGCACTCTACCAGGAGGAGCTGCCCTCCAACTCTGCCAGTGAAGAAGATCCCCACACGTCTGCCAGAGTGAGCCCTTTGTTCATCCCCCGCCCTCACTTGCCCACATCATAAGGGGAGGAACAGAAAGAGGCTATAACAGGAGATCTCGCAGCAGAGTCTGGGGGTTGTGTTACACCGACCTATCGATCATGATCTTGGGGTCTCCCATCCAAGGAATAAGGTGTCGCCCCTGCTCCTGGTACTGAGCCTTCTCATCATCTCGAAACAGCTTGCAGGCATAGCCGAACACCAGCAGCTCCACACGGCTATTCCCACCTCCACCTCCTCCTCCACCTCCTCCGGGGGGCCCGGGGACCGCTCCCCCTCCTGACAACAACATTAGGGGCGGCGGGCCTGCTTCTTCTGCAGTCCGTCGAGAACCTCCGACCCCTCCGTACATCACCAGGGGATGACGCGAGGAGGAGGAAACTCGCAGTAACAACGACTGTCCGAGAAGCGAGTCCCCCAGAATGCCGGGCCCGCACTAAACTCCCCAGCTCCAGAGCACCACAGTCGCCATCACCCGAAACAAAATGGCGACGCTTCCGCTTCCGCTGGCAGGGCAGAGGCTAGTCTGGCTTCCGGCGGCGGGCAGATTCGCCGCCGGTTTTGGCAGCCCGAACGCGAAATCGAGGAAGAACGCGGCGCGGAGCGGTGTGGCTCCGCGCTACCGGCGGGGCAGGGCGGCGTCCGGCGGCAACGGCCGGTCGCTGGGCGAGGGAGTGAGGCGCGGCGGGCGCGACGAAAGTGCGGAGCCAAGGGAAGGGGGTGGGCGCCGGGTGGGGGGGAGGGCGGGTCGGTGCGCGTGAGGGGCTGCCGTGGTCCGCCCGCGAAGTGCGGCGGGGTTGGGCGCTTCTCGGCTGAAATGCGTACGCGGAGTTTGAAAGGAGAAGGAGGAAGGCCTGGGCGGGTCAGCGCGGGGCGGGGGGGGGCCGTGCCTCCCGGTGCCTGCCCGACTGCTGAGGAGCCCCCGCGGTCATCGGCCCCCACTGTCGGGGTGGGCAGCGACAGAGCCCAGGGAAATGAGGAGGCTGAGGGTTGCGGGGCTCGGCAGAAATGCTCTGACACGGAGAGCCGCGGGAAGGCGGGAGTCACCTCAGGCTGCGCGTGGGAAGTTCACGGGGAAAGTGGGCCTGGGAGCCAGCGCGGGAAAGGGAAGGGCTGTCGCGCTGAGGAAGATATTTTTTAAACACATGATAAATTAGACTATTTTTTGCTAAAATTGTGTAATCTGTGAACTTTTCAATATTGTTTACCTCAGGATTATTATTTTCATCACTCAAGCATGAAGAAACACATTGTTTTGCGTATTTTAGAATAAAATGTTGTGAGGAAGCACATTGTGTTTTGCAATTCACAATGGGAGTTAATCCATAGCCTTTGTTAGGAGAGATTCTGGGTGCCTGTAAACACAGGCAGAGCTGCTGGGGTTTTCCCGGGTGAGCGATTGCTGACATCATTGTACACAAAGGAATGAAATATGTAAAGTAGTGTGAGAAAAGCAATGCACGAGCACTGGAGAAGAGAGGAGTAGCTTGTGTCAGCATTTAGAAATACCTGCTACTATGTAAACTTACTGAAGGAGGACTCTAGAAACTTCCTTGGCCACTTATTTATTCATCTGGAGTCAGGAATTTGAAAATGCTAATACATGGGGTTTCCACACTGTCTTTCAAAATGAACTACAAAATGAGTAAACTTCATGATGCTGCTTTCAGATAATTTTGATGCATATACAGTTGCACCTGCTAGTTCATGTCCTAGGAAAGATGGTTTAAAATCTATGAAAGTTAACATCTCTATCGTTTGCAATGAATATTTGGAAATTACCAGAAATTATATGATACTTCAAAAATGTTAGTGAACAAGTCTGCTAAAGGTGGATGGTTCAGACATATCTTACTGTTTTATAAAAATATGATTGAGTTGTTTTAATGAAGAGAGAAGTTTTAAGTGTAACACCTTTGAGAAACAAAATACAGGCCTGAACACCAAGGAGACAGGTGGGAAGACGCTTGAACATTGTGCAACAATTTTACACCAGCTGGGAAACATTTGGTGTAAAGAAAAGAACAGAAGAAAACAATAAAAAGAACTCAAAAAAACTAAACAGTTTTTTTTATGGGGAGTATAAGAAAGCAATATGTGGCGAGGATTTTGTGACTTCCATGTCTTCTAGTAATGCAAATGATTCAGCAAAAACAGTAGCACAAAAAAGGCTCTGTGCACTTGAAGTGGCAGCGTACAAAGATAACTTCAGACCATTTTGCTGGGATATCAGCATTTGAGACAAGGACATGAATTGTGCATGAGTCAGATAAAGGACAAAGATGGAAGTCTTAGTTACAAAGAATGCAATTATAGAAAGATGGAGGGAGTATTTTAATGATCTCTTTAATGGTGAAATGGATAAAGGCAAACAAACAGCAATTTTCCAGCCAGCTGAGCCATTTGTAGAAGAACCAAGAGGCGACCAGAACACCCAGGAACAACAAAGCACCAGGTGTTGATAATGTTCTCACTGAATTATTAAGAACAGGAGGGGATAAGACTTTAAAAACTAATTTGTGTTAGTATGGTGGTTTGAAAATAATTTAAAGAAATAGAAAAGGGGAGCCACATGTCTATTTTTGAAACAAGGGACAAAATGAAACCTGAAGCCTTGGGCATCATCTTGCTGTTTATTACAGCATATGATATTCTGGGCTATTTGCTCACATGTAATTAGCCTGTAAACAGAAGAGAGATTATGAAAGGTTTCTGGAAGAACGGGTCTGCAGCACAACAATTACTTTGGGATTATTGAGTACCTGAGGAAAAGAAGTAGGAACATGAACAGACTACATACAGGGCTTTTTAATGTATTTAAGAAAGCGTGTCATAGTGCATTACGAATTTGCATTGTAATAAAAAAGCACCCCTCCCTCCTTTTTTTCCAGTTTGTGTAAAAAACTAAACTCCTTTTTTCCTACTTTTTTTTTGTGTTTTTTACTGTACATCATCATGGAGAAGAAGACTTGGTGCTAATCATAATATAGGGCATGCTTTTTTACCACATTTAAAGACACATCCAACTTTAATATCTACTAATAAGAAAAAATACTCTGAGATTACTATAGGCTTCTGTTTTAAAGTCTTAATATGGTAGGATGCCCGTGTTATTTCATTCAGCCCATTGATTAGTTCCAGATGTTCTGGCTGTGATGAAGAGAGTCTAGCTGTAACAGGAAAAATGTACAAAATTAATCTCTTCCCCTCTCCCTATTTTCATTTCGCTAAAGGTAGGAAAGCAAAAATAAAGGAAGTAAGAACAAGACTGCCTTTCCTAGGCTGAAAGCAGGCTTTTTAATCTGTCTTAATGGAAGTATAGTCATCTAGTATTGTTTTTCAGTTTATCTTTAGCTGAACATGTATAATAACATTATTTTTTAGTTCTGAAGTAGGTTTGAAAGAAAAGTGTATTGTGCAGATTCTAAAGAAAAATATCACATATCATGTTTCAGCAATATAAAGGAATTTTCAGCATAGCAAAAGAATGCATCAAATGTTATTCCAAGCACTTAGGAAATATGAAATATCTGAAGTTTGAGACTGCAGAAAACAAAGCGCAGGATGGTTAAGCAGTTCAGTACAGAAACACGTGAAATTTTTCAGTAATTAAGAAGATAAAATTTGGGAGTGGGATTTGGTATCAATTCAAAGAATGGGCTTGTAGTCTTCTATATTTGTTATAAGGGGACAAAACTGTACATGAGAGCTACCATAAAGGTTTTTGTTCATCAACGCAAGTACAGTTTTGTATAGTAAAAATAGAAAGTTTGCGTATCACTGTATCAATCTTGACATTAGCACTCTCAAACTATTGACGTAAGTTTGTTATTTTTGTAGAAAACGCTCTCTTTAGTCAGGCTGGAGCCAAGATCTAATTTTTTTTTCCCTTGGTCATCATTTGTTCAATATGGAACTTGGCATGAACCCGTACTGCTATCAGACTTCTGTATTCAATCTCAGTGGTGTGTTAGAACAAAAGAGCTGCTGTGTTCCTTAGGGAAGGATGCACAAAACCTGTGAGGTTTTCTTGAACACTGAAATTGTACATAATTATTCTCTTAGAGAAGATATCCTCTAAATTATCATGACTTTTTGAGCAGATGTTATTGTTACTTCTGCCATTACTGTAGCATCCACGTATAAAACATACGGTAATTCCAATCCAATTGAATTGGAACCACATTTTAAATACAGAATTGCTGTATAACAGTAGCTAGGTAAACAATTTATGGGTATGTTAATGACTGCAGTATGTAACTGACTGCATTAATGACTGGGAGCAGAGTAGTGGTTAAGGATTTCCAGCTCTTTTTAATTATAAGCTTGCTGTAATTCATAGCTTAGTTGCTCACTTTATATCCAGAGAGTTACTTACCTCTTGTATGAATTGTATAAAGATTCTATTTACCTCTTTCTCTTAAAAAAAATCAGGTGACCTGCCCTTTCTTCTTTTTAGCACGGAGTTTTTATCTATTGACCACCTTTCTTCTTCTGGCAAGTTACACAGATATGCCACGTATCCTTTGGTAGGGTTTTTTTCTTTTGTTTTGTTTTGGGTTTGTGTGTGTATTTCACAGCCTGCCAGTTTCTATGACTAATTTATTTGGTTATTGTCTTTAGGCCAGAGGACTCCTTCCTTGAGGGTTGTTGTAAGAAGCAAAGATGCACTTCAGTATAAACAGAAAACAATAGACAAAGCTTGTCCCTTTTTCCTTCCCTTTGCTTTCTCTGTTCTTTATTCAAAACCATCTTCACTGTTGTATATTATAAGGCGTTTTGTTACTGTGTGCTTGAAAAGGGTAAATGAAAGCTTGTGAGTAGCACTAACAATGTTGGATTTGCTCTTGAATTCTCTTATAAGCAGTAACTTCTTCTTACAGTTTTTCCCTAAAAAATGTGCTTGTGTATGAGACATTTTCAGTTAAAGTGTGCAACAAGCAATTTCTGTTACTGTACGAAAGATTCATAGAGAAAATGAAATAGTCTTAAAATATAATTAATTTATAATTAACCAAATTCTTTGCATTCAGCTTTCATCATAAATTTGCTTTTATTGTTACTGTGGAAACCCATGTTACAAGTTCCATAAGGAATGTGTTGTGGTTTTGTTTGCAAAGCATAGTACCATTGGGTAGTAATTTACGTGGTTTTGGGTTTGTTTTTTAAATAATGTTCTGTCTTGCAGATAAAGTAATCAAAAGAACTG